AAATTGACAGTCCCTTGTGTCCGGGCCGGCCCACGCAATAAAGTTTTTGGGCACCTTGACGAAAATACTTAATTGTTGGTCTCAAAAACACTGTTTTTCACACTAAAAATGTGAAATTAAAATGATTTATTTCAATCACAGTTAATTTTTGAACTGCTGATAACAATTTGGTATTGGGAGTCTATCTTTATTAAAAGGCACATAAATGAAAATAATAAACAATAAAATATATTGTTGTGTCATAGAGCAAAAACACAAAATAAATACGTCAATAAAAGTCCAAAGTCAATAAATTGTGCAAGTTGGAATTTACCGGTCCGCAGGAACGGCGGGCGAAACACGCAGTATAGGGTGGGACCTAGCTGGGCCGGTCTGTGTGCACCTCCGGCGTGCACTCAACGTGTTAATAAGAAATATGAACACTATATTAGATAGCTTCTACAATGTTTTTATTGTGGACGTACATTTGTAGCAACAAAAATTTTGTTCAGCCTATTTTACACACAAAAAATATATATACAAAAAACCTTGCAAAAATGAAAGACAGATTATTATTTTTAGGCAAACTGAAAACACCAGAGGCTAATGTTCAGTTGACAATTTTGAAAGCACAATATAAAGATGCTATTCATGAGGCTAAGCTTAACTTTAACGTAAATGAAATTGAAAGGAGTAAAAACAAGTGTAAGGCTGCGTGGCAAATAATTAACATTAATAGGCCTAATAGTAATTTGTTAAGTAAGAATCAGGAAGTCAATATACATCCCCATGTATTTAATGAATATTTTATTAATTCAGTAAAAGATATTAAGAAACAAATAGATAACCCCTGTATTAGTGTAAGAGACTTAGTGCATAAGGTAAATATTAATCATAAGGTTTTTGAATGGAAGTTAATCTCACCCAGTGATGTTATTAATGCTGCAAAGAGGATGAAAAACACAAAAAGTAAAGATATTTATAATTTATCTAATGATCTGGTTAAAAATATAATTCACAGTATTGCTCAACCGTTATCTTTTAGCTTTAACCAATGTCTGCAGGAAGGTATTTTTCCTAGTAAATTATAAATCTCAAAAATATGTCCAATTTATAAGAAAGGCGCAAAAACCTGAAAGCTATCGACCTGTGTCGCTGATTCCAATTGTTGGTAAACTCTTTGAAATGTTGGTGTATGATCAAGTTAGTTAGGAAATACAAACCATTATCAACCTTTACATTTTTGAACTTGTATCTTATATACTAAAAAATCAGGATCTTGTTACACTCACTGGGGATATGCACAGTTACAACACTCGTAATAGGGATAAAGCAGTAATTGAGTACAATAGGCTCAGCAAATCACTGTCTAGTCATGTAGTACTATCCCTTAAGGTATATAATAAAGTAATTAATCTTAGTAAGAAATATACTGTTAAAGTTTTTAAGAACAAATTTTATGAGTGGTTATCTAAAAATCCTTTCTATTCACTTAGTGAATTTTTCTTATTAAAACAGATAGAATTTTAATGTTTGAAATCTGTTATGTATAATTTTTGATTCTTGTATAGTTCCTATGAATTGTATATTTCTATGATATGTGATATTACCCTTAGGCCTAATTATTAGTATAGAGACTTGGCATTTCTGCTGTAAATTTGACTTTGTTAATGCTTATGTAGCCTGAAAGACAATAAACTTATTCTTATTCTTATTCTTATTAGCTGGTTACCTTTTTCAATGTGTAAAATTTTAAGCAATTTTTAATAAATTACCTAAGTATCATATGCAGAATCAGAATATAAATTTGTAAAGCAAACAATTTTTATCCTCTTTGCTATTTTCATTGTTCTCAAAAAAAGATTTTAAGACCTACCCTTAAAGATATTCAAAAAGGTTGTTGAAATGCCAAACACCCTTTAATACCACACATAACTAATTGGTTACTATCACGTTGGAGTTTAGTTTGAGTGAATTTATTAAATTTGAAAAATGTCTAGATAGGCCTTAACGCTTTGTGCAGTGTCAGAAAAAAATTCTGCCGTGTCAATTTTTTACAATTCTGGCAACCACAGTCTTTTGGTGATGCTCCTAACTTGTGCAATTTTTTTACATGGAACTGACCATTTGGTAAACAATATTAAGTTTAAATACTGTGTCGATATAGGCCGAATTTTTATTCTGTGGCTTGGTATTTATTTTTTGCTTGACGTCAGAACAGAACACTTTATTATGTAACCCACAATGTTAACTGTATGTTATTCTTCTAGGTCCGTCTGCTGAAGAGCTGTGGAAGATAAGGGAAGCTATTGCCAACGCCTCGTCATTGGAGGAAGTGGAACGACTCAACAGATTACTGCAAGCCGGACAAATCCCTGGCAGAGGTAGCTGGAATATTTACCTCAAACTTGTCCTACAAGCCTAACAAATTCCTCTTGTCTTAAACAATGTACTTCAAAATACTTTAAGATAATACAACAATATAGTATTAACATATCCTGTAGATTCGCATACCAAAACTATAGCATGTGTTTCAAATAGCATAATATAGAGACTTATCGTCTAAGAATGATTTCTCCTTAAAACATCTAAAATTCACAACTCTTAAGCTCTTAGTGATCTGAAGTATGGGACCAAGGCCTTGTTGATTGAAGATATTATGAGATAAATATATGATAACCACTTACTTAGCTTGGAAAAGCTAGAACCAAAAATGTTGGTACATCATTGAGAATTTTGCTAGGAGTGATGGCTGATAGCGTTTTAAACTTACTTTAAAACATTTATAAAAAACTGTGTGTAAATTAAACCTTTAGTCGAGTGAAGGCCAAACATTATTTCTGACTGGTTTAAATATCATTTGGCATGGTTCCAAGTAAACCCAAAACTAATAAAGCTACTGGAAATTTACCTAGTAGGTTAGTGTGTTGCAACTGGGTGAATTTAAAATGAACTTATAATATTTTCAGGCGGTGGACCTTCAAAAGACAGTAAAATGGAAGTCGATGGAGAAGAAGAAGAAGAGGATGAAGATGACGGACCTACTGTCAATGGTCACTAAGATTTCCCACTGAAAATCCTTACTCAGGGAGGCTATAGTACATTTAATGTGTAATTTAAGCATTTTTTACATTTAGTTGCAAAAGATCCTCTTTTCAACAATCATCTTGTTAAGTTAATAAGAGACAGATATTACCAAGTTGTATACTTTAAGTTATTGCAGTAGCACAAATTGTTCTTATCTTTTATTATTGTTTGAACAGTCGGTAGTTTTACAGAAATTGAGTCTTTGGTTTGATTATTGTAAATATGGGAACGATTCTACAAAAAAATAAAGCCTCGAGGTTGAGAAGTGATATTGCGTTATTTTGTCTTTACCCTTTCTCATACAATATTGTAATATTTGTGTGAGTTGTTTCAGGTCTTGGCTGGGTCCTCTTCAGCAGGTAAGTAAGCAATTTTCTCCAGTTGTAACAATAAGTCGTCTAAAGCCAGAGTATGTAGAGTCTCGATCATCCAACATTCGGTTATTCCACCTTCCTTGCAGAAATTCAAGTAACGTGATATTACAGCCATTTCTGAGCGATATGACTTCATCGTCGCAGGTCCATGCGGTTGCCTCTGCCTGTATTGGATGAAACGAATGAGGCTTTATGCACATCCGCTTGACAGTACTTTCTCATCATTTTATCTGTTATGTATCACACATTTACCTGTGCACTAAGTCTGCTACCCCTCACGTCTTAATGTACCGGTGTAAAGAGTGACTTGCAACTGAGTGGACGAGTTTTATTTACTCTTTGTTTAACATATACAGTAAAATAACATCAGTGTAGTGTCTTTATTTTTTTCTTAGCTTATTGTAATATTGTCCGTACTAGGAAACGGAAAAGCAGATCGAAGGAAGACAATCTCAAAGCCTTGAATCGATTCGGCTGAAGAGAAAAATTTTAAAGATTTTCATCATAGTTTTGTTTCTCAAACATAAAATAGTAAATGTACAAAATCATGAGTGAAAAAATTCAACATATTTTTTAACCAAGATCCCTTTTTTCTTTGTTTGACCATGAAGTGAAAAACAATTAAACAAACAAATCCCATTTTCTCGCTGATACTTTTTACTTGTAAAATATGCTGTGCCCTATAACATATCTCCAATGGTATTTACTTTTTTAACGTTTGGTGTGGCACTGATAAAATTGGATACAGTATATATGTGATTTAAGATTTAATCCATTGGGCATGTTTTGAATGTGGAAATATTTTGTAATTATTAGGCCTACCCAACATTATTTTATTGTTACCACCATGACAGAGATTCATTACAATTTTTTTGAGAAGAAGACTAAAATGGTTGGTTAAAAGAAAATACATATTAACTCTTATTTTGCCTCCATACATATAGGATTATACGAGAGTATTTTTTTTAGTAAGGGCCATTTTTATTGCTTTATAGTTTTGCCGTCACAACGAGGCACTTCACCGTTTACTGGCATCATTTGAGAACAGAATGGATACCATTTGCAGCTCTGTAGCTGATGTGTACAAAGCATACACATCAGCTACAGAGCTGCAAATGGGTTCACACATTATACCAGTAAGCGGCGAGGAGCCTCGTTGCTGCGTACCCGTGAACTATGTAGCTATAGCCTACACAAAAACGACCCTCGTATTTTGATATGACGGTTTAAAATTTAATCAAGTTTTATTCACAGAATTACTTCAAACAATTGTTGATTGCATAATGCACCTTTACCTTTCTTCGACCAGCTTGGAAAGTGAATTTTTATTTTAGCAATAAACAGCTTAAATTGTTATAAACTTGTGTATATAAAAATATACATACACTTATTTCTAGTAAAAAGCGTTCAACCTTTATTTATCTCCTATAACTTACTAATAGTTTCTAGCTTAAGTAAATATCCTTAATAATCTTTTGAAGGGAGGGGACTGTAGAGATTTTAATTTAAACGTGAAATAAGACACTCGAGGTTAATAAAAATTTCATATAATATAAATTAAATAGTATTTACAAACCACATACAAAATTACGCTTAGTGTTTGTTAACTGACAATTTTAAATTGTTTTAATCAATAAATAAAAGTAAAGATACATATCAGGACAAATTGACTATTCACATGGGTACAATATGAAATTATAAATTGATGCAATTTCCCTAATAGTTTTAAATTCTACAGCATACATAAAAAATATATTTTTAAAAATATCTGAACGAACAGTATATTTAAATAAATTTATCTATACATTTTTAAATATCCTTGAAATACTCTCATTACAGATTAAGTGTTAAAAAACTGGACAAAATCATCATTGTGAACAAAGTTGATGTGATTTCCAGTATCAGTTAGGTTTGGTTAGTTCTCTTAGCCAAACTGCCAAGTGAAGTGATGATCGTCAGAGCTACCGGAGCAACCAGGCGATGGGAGAGGACGTCGTCAACGCTCGGTCGGTTGAGGGGGTCTCGGTCCAGCATAAGTCCCAAAATCTCCATGATGCCGCTGTCGTATAGAGGGCTTATTGGCTCAATGGCACCGTGCATTATCTCCATCACTACTGCTGCCAGGGTCTGATAACAAGGGTTCAATTGAAAATCATTTCATTTTGTACATTTTAAACCCCCCCCCCCCTGCAGACTAAGCAATTTTCAATATGTCAAAATGGATTTTAACAAAAATATTTCCATGAAGAAGTCATATTAATTCCCCATTTAAATGACGTTTGATATAACAAATACGGCACCTACTTAGGTTTTTTGCTGGGGAAAGGGAAAAAGTGTTTCGAAAAATTAAATGTTAATATTATAGGATGAAGCAAACTTTAACACTAACAGTTACCTTTTTCTTCATCACTTGTAATTGTACAACAATGCATTGATGCACTAAATTGTTTGGTTTTTTGAGCTCTTAAGGGGATGATGAAAATTGGGCATTTCCCTATTTTAAAAGTAAACAATTTTTTAAAAACCAGTTTAAAAAAAGTTATATATTATAACACCCCTTTGCCTATGACCAGATCTTGCTGGTTTGCAAATTCATTCAAGTTTATCCAGCTCTACACTTTCATTCCACATTTCATCAAAAACAGACCAGAATTTGAGTCAGAGTTATCAAGTTCACAAACACATATAATATTTAAATAATATATAAATAGATAGATAAGTATTTACATTTTAACAAATAGTGTTTGCTTACTTTAATAGCTTCTTCCCCGTAAGGGGATTCGCTAAAAAGATTGTGAGGACTTTAGAATAAGAATAAGAATGGTTTTTGCCGTTAAACATGTACATGCAATGGGCAAAGTCACGTTTTAAAAATATCTTAGCCTACTTAAAAATAAACAGATGTATAGGCCTAGACCTTAACACAGAATGGTAACATTGAATCGTTGAAAGTCATTTTCAAGAACTCGTTAACACTATACATGGGGTTTTCCACTAACCAATCTGACAAAACTCTCTCAAATTTACTATTACTAACTAAGAACATTGAAAGACTTGAGGGTTTTACTTAACCTACAATGTTGCCTATAAATATGATGACTAGATCTTGTGAAATGGTTGTGGATTTGGTTTGACAAAGTGAACTTTTTAGATTTAGATAGAGTACTTTTCCTCATAAATCGTTTGGTGAAATTATAAGACTACACAAACACACATCTCTTTAACCAGACAATTTTTATCAGTACATCAATTTAATCGGACTAGATCGGCAGGAAGTGGGCGGTACTGAAATGACTGTTCTTGTGAGAAAGATTTGAGACCAGTAATCACGTGTCTAAACACGTAATAATCATTATTGGCTTATACACTATGCATTCAAACGGTCCGGTTTAACAAGTTTTTGGGGACGGTTTAACCGTTATCCGGACTGGCCTCGGTCCTGAAAAGTCCGGATAAGAGGGAGTCTACTGAATATAATATTTTATAGATTTATTTTTAAACACTTGTATCAAGGACCACTTTCATATGGTCCCTAGTGTAGGAAAAGCAACATAATTAAGCCTATCTGCCAGGACTTGCATAAAAATCACAACAATTGTATATAACAGTTTTTTTCTTATCACTATATCAAGTGGCCGTTTAAAATATTAATTAAAAAATTATTGCTCTGAGACAAATCCAATTTTAAAAACTCTGCACTTAGTCCCTGCTGAATTTGTTATGGTTTAAGCATTTCAAGGTGCAGTTGTAACTTTCTATAAGTAAATGTTGATTTTACTCGTAAACAAAATTAAAGTTTACACTAATTACTATATAGCAATGCAGTTTTAATTCACACTCGTATTTCCTACTTTATATTGTACAAAATGTAAGTTAAATGTAAACCTTTAATGCAAGGACACCTGTACTAAAATAAACTTATCTGTCAGAGACCTGGGCTTGAAAAGGCTGCCTGAGTGTGCACATGTTGTACAAGACGCAGCCTAGAGCCCAAACATCACTGTGTGTTCCGTACGCCTTTCCTTGACACAGCTCGGGTGACAAGTAGCAAGGCGTTCCTACCACACTCGACGTCTTGCTGCGGCTGAAATAACATGAAGAAACCTATAGTCTAGTTATTTGTGTTTTATCATCTAAAGGCCCGTTTACACGAGGCTAGTTTTAGCTGTTAATTGCTCCTTACTCGCTGCTAGTTGTTTTTAACATGTTTGATAGCACAAGTGCTAACGAGTGGGGAGGGTAGTCACGTTAACACTAGGGCTATCGAATTAGCGCGCCACTAGCAGGTTGTGACCACTTCTAGGAGAGCGCTAGTGCTAATCGGCACTCGCCAGGACAGGACAGTTGATACTTGTTTGTCACATAAAGTGGTTGTAAACTGTTCTTCCACTGCCTGTTCTCTTAAAAGAGTATTCAAAGCACAAAGAAGTTCTTGCCTAATTCAATTTTGAACCCACAAAGTTTGTCTCTTTTTATTAAGTTCCTTTATTGTGATTTAAATGAACAGAGGACATTTTGTAAAAACTTTAAATGACAACTTCGTCCACAGAACACCTAAATTCTACAACTGACAAGCGCTAAAATCAGCTCCAATAACTAGCCACGTGTAGATGGAAATTTTTGCGCTAGTGTGCCCAGCTTGTGCTAATTAGCGAATATTAGCTGCTAGTAAACTAGCCACGTGTACACGGACCTTAACATTCAATCAGACACGTGGGTAGTATTCATTGTTATATTATGGTTTTTTGTGGGAAATATAATTAATTTATATCTCTACAGCTTATTTATTTGAAACTGATTATGAATGAGCGTAAAATGGGGTGAGATGACCTGTGTAGCTTTGTGCTTAAGATTGGCTCTTTCCTTTGATCAGGAGCTTTTACTAAGCCCAGTTTTTAACCAGCAAAAAGCTACAAACAGCACAAGAACTAAAGCGGTGACCCAATTACCAGATGAGCACTATGACCATTCATCTACCCAGATATTCAATAGTCATTGGCAGATGAGATTTATGAACAAACAGTTGCTCTTGAATATGTACACAAGTATCAGCTGAAACTTTAGGAACTTTATTTAACTAACTAATTCACTAAGATTGGCTAATCAGTGATATAACTCTGAGTTCAGTGATTCTCTCAGTTCCGAGTGGTTAGAAAAGCAGGGTACTTCTGTTCTTGGTGCACAGGTTCAAATCCCGCACATTCCCAATGGCTTTGAGCCATAATATGTGATAATTCCAAAACTTGGGCAATCACAATTTTTTAGCCTATGCAGGTGCCACTTATCTATAAAACTAGGTTTTAGGCAAGGATTTAATTTTTATTTCAATACACACACAAAAATGAGTCAGTTTAATTTTAATTTTTCCCATCATATACGGTATGCCAAAATATATTTACTAAAAAGTTTTTACCTAAACACTTAACTTACATGCTGATTTACCTGCAGGATGCCCCCCCCCCTGGTTCCTGGGCTAGAGAAAAAAAAATACTATACTAGCTAATATACAAATATTTTATCCTGTCAAATCCTAAAAAGCACGGCAGACAAAAATCTTGCCTATTCTTCTACAGTAATTTGAAACAAAAATATTATTACTTTCTCCCCCTATACCATAGTATATGGAGAAAGTATTGTTTTCGTCAAAATTTTTGAGTTTGAGTTTTGAGTGGATATATTCGTTTTGGGTCCCCCTGGACCCAAAAAAGTGGTTTTCAAAGTGATGTCTGTGTGTGTGTGTGTGTGTGTGTGTCTGGATGTGTACAGAGCTAGAGACTACACCTGTGGTCTGATTTCGATGAAATTTGGTATGTAGGTTCTAATCCATGGTATCTCCAGGCGTTTTTTTCATTTTTTTGAAATTTTGATTTTTAATGGGGATTTTCCCATAAAAACCCATAAAAACCGGAAAAATTGGATTTTCTCAAAAATGTCCCGAATGATTTTGATAAAGATTTAGTATGTTGTAGCCATTTAAATTCTGAATAAAATGGTACAAATCCCATTTCTGTAAAAATTACGGTTCGAAAGTTATGGTCAAATATGTCAAACCCCATAAAATAGAGAAAAATTGGATTTTAGAAAAAAATCCGGTTTTGATTTATCATAGTATGTTATGATCCTTACAATTTTGATAGTTTTTATTATTTTTATTTTTAATGGGGATTTCCCCACAAAACCCCATAAAATAACAGAAAAATTGGATTTTCCCAAAAATGGCCCGAACGATTTTGATAAAATTTAGTATGTTATAGTCCTTTAAATTCTGAACAAAATTTTACAAATCCCATTTCCGTATATTTACTCTCACCGCTTACACATGATAAAGGTTGTTGACAAACTTATGGGAGAAAGTATGTGTCAGAATGCTGATACCGTTTATTTTTGAGTGTCTCAGTAAAATTAATTGTGTCAAATTATTTTATTGAAAACAAAATTTGATTTGCTTTTAAATACTTAAATACTGGTGTTTTATTTAAAAACCAAATTAAACTGTTATAAACTATAGGCTGTGAATACAACTGTATTAATTGCTATAGGTTTAAATGTTGTACAAGAGAATTTGGTCATATCTATATATTAATTTGAATAAATCAAATAAAAAAATAATATTAATACACCATGTAACTATTGATCACGTTTCTTAGATGAATAACTTACCAACATATTATTATGTTTCTGTCTGTTGTCAATTATTGTTAGTTTCATTAATTTTTTGCCTAAATTTATATAAATTTTACTCATATTTTTGTTTTTATTCTAAGTGCTTTTGACAATTAAAATAAGCATTAACCCCTCTTTTTTTGTTTTAAAACTGCTAAATTTTCTGGGGGAGGACCCTCGAACCCCTCCCGCCCCCCAAGGATTTGGTGAAATGACGCCACTGTTTACCTGGTCAACATTTTTGAGATTCCAAAGTCGGTAAGTTTGATGATTTGTCCCTGACTACCAGTGAGCAAGATGTTCCTTGTAGTAATGTCTCTGTGAAGGATCTTCTTGCTGTGGATGTACTGTAGAGCTAGGCACAGCTGGGCGAAGAAACTCAATACTTTCTGTAAAATGAGGAATATTTTGAGAAAATGTGCAGTCATTACCATAAAACGTTATTTTATTTCAAGCATGAGGTTACTTTGATATGTCCTTTTTAAAGAAAATAATTATTATTGAGATTTAAAGTCTATGAAGTACATGAAACTAAACTCTTTCTTATGGAAGTTTGATAAAGCCTTCCTTGAAAAATGTTTCTGAGGGGGCAAACTAGCATTTAGTTCCAGATGCAGGGTTTGGGAAAAATGTCATCTCTTGCTAAAAAATGTTATAAAAGGGCTTATAGATAATAAAACGGAATTAAATACTGAAAGTTTATCTTTAATTGATTAACATTTACCTCTTGGGGGAGCAGCTCTGACTGGATTTGGAGATATTCATACAGAGTACCTTTGGTGGCATACTCCATGACAATAACTAGAGCCCCCTGACTGATGAAACTGTCCTGGTATCTTATAATGTGAGGATGTTTCAGTAGCGACATCACCTTCACCTCCTGAACTGTATCCTAAAATATATGTGTGTGTACACAGAGAAGTTATCTACAGCAGAAGAAACATTAAATGATAAACTTATAGCACTAGTTTCTGATGGTGTCTAGGGCTAGAGCAAAGTCTAATACCAGCCCCCTGCCCTCATGTAGGCCTACTGGCTACTAGTGTATAGCATAGCACTAGTTTTTGGTGTCTAGGCTAGGCTAGGGCAAAGTCCAATACCCCCTTGCCTTCATGTACTACAACACTGACAGTGGATGAAGACCCAGTCGCTCAGACTCTTCCTCTAGATCGTCACATATATTTACTGCACAACATACAAGAGCTGAGAGTGCACAGTCATCACATAAGCAAAAGTTTGCTCTGAACATTACTTCTCTGTTGACTCGAGAGCTCCTCGCTTTCCCTTTGAAAATACCATTATACCAATTTTAATCGCAAATCAACTATTAGGGGCTGGGATTTATGTTCTCAGGATGAATCTGTTGAGTGTATTAGCGAGAGATTAAACTATACAAATAAAACTTTTAAACTTAAAATACTGAAAAAAAGTCTACAACGGATTATTGATTTTAATCATAATAGGCTATTGTAAAAACAAAGAACTTTGCTTTTAAAAAATGTTAGTGTTTCATCAAAGAGTAAAGCAGAAACCTTCCTTGGTAACCTACAACAATTGGGAACACTGTCAAGGTAAATCCCTCGAGAGCTCCTCGCTTTCCCTTTGAAAATACCATTATACCAATTTTAATCGCAAATCAACTATTAGGGGCTGGGATTTATGTTCTCAGGATGGACAAATGAGCAAAATAAAATTAACTCATTTAAAACCTTGGAAGTCTTTGGGTCTGAGAAAATTAAACTTTATTCAACTCCTTTACTCCCGAGTCCCGAACTTAATACATTTTTACAAAAATACACAGTTCGTTATTAGTTGTTTTAAGCACTATCAACTCAAATTACAAATATGAATAGGGAACCAGAAAATGTGTGCAAGATTCCTTATAAACATGTTTCAACTCTAAAATTTGGAAATTCTTTATAAACAAAAAAATTAATTTCTTATTAGGGGTTTCTAAAGAACAATTGATTTACCCTCTGTTGAGGGTAGTTTCCCAATGTTTTACTTACCTTTAATTCTTTTTCATTTAGGTGTTCAATCACTATCTGTTTTAAAATTACCCTCTCTCCAGAACCTTTTCGACATAAATATACAGTTCTGTAAAAATAACAGTTTTGTTTTAACCAGCATTTGACAGAGATTAAATATTAAATATTTTTTATTAGATCAAAAATAATTCTCATTAAATACTCAAGTTATCATCATACAGATTGATAATTTACATAGGCCAGTTCTGTGTTGGGTAAAACTCTGAATGCTTTAATTGACAATCTTCATACTTAATTAAAAAAGCATAGTCTCTTAGTTGTAACTAAATTCAAATTCAAATAGTCTTTATTCAATATATAACATATATGAAACATACATGTATCTGAATAGAGTCAAAATCTATATACAAATCATACACATTAAAACATAAATCTACGCAAATGTCCATTATGAAAAAAAAAATGGAAATTCAAATGAAATATTTTGTTTTGTCTACAAATTCTTGTAATGAATAAAAAGGATTTTTTACTAAGAAATCTTTTAAAAGTTTTTTGAAATTTGTCTCCTGCCGGATGTTAATTGGTAAATATTGTAACAATATCAATCCTGCATAGATGGTTTTCTTTGTATAATATTCTAATTTATGCTGAACTATGAATCGAAATAAAATTTTGTTTTCCAATTGAAAATTTAATTGGCAGGTACTATATAGTATTTTTACATAATAGTAACTTATTTATTTTTCACGCCACTATGTTTATGAAGTCATAAAATAACTATTCCATTCTTGTAAAATAAAATGCTAGTAAATAGTTGTTTATTTGTAGGCAAAACAGTCAATTTGGTATAAACTTACTACTTTTCTTGGGTAAATGTTTTGAATTTTGTGTTCAATCTAACTTGTGAATTAAAGCCTGATGATTTTTTAATTTATTTGTTCTTTTAACCCAGTTTCAGTTATAGCAATTTAATATTCATGTGTAGGCTCTTGATACTAAAATGTTTCAGTTATAAACCTTATAACTACCCTAAAGGCACAGGCACAACTTTGAACCAACTTATCAAGAGGATGAATGCAGAAATTATTTAGGCTACTTCCATAATGATAATTCCTGTTCAATCTTACCCAAATGCACCTCTTCCAACTAAAACAAGTTTGTCATATTCTTCCATTTCCCCCAATAAATACAAAATAATATGGAGATAATAAGTTAGATCTAATTAAATACAGTAAGATAAATCTATGTACAACAACCAATTTGATGCACTAAGTCACATAACCGAGTAATTTGTGTGTTCAAATAAACTTAATTCCACTAAAACAATGCACACGACAAATTTTCAGCAAAACGAATGATTTATCCTGTTATCAAAATCTCAAGTTTCATGATTTTACCCGTTGGTAGTGATTCCTAACGGGGTCCAGTTCCTATCCAGTAACCACTCCTTATTTTGTTTATTTTATTAGTTAAAATTAAGTTTGAATTTTAAAGTTTATTTGAAAACAAATCACAGCCTTTTCGAAAGTGCAGTACTGTAGCTTCGGGTTGAATTTCAGCAAGTCTATAATGTCTGTACAATGTTATCGTAGGTACTATAAGAAGTGCATGTGTTAGTAGGCATTTCAATAAATTCAAATAAACTTAATTTGTGCACTGAAATATCTGCATAATAGCGTCCCCAGCAGTTCCTGACCAAATAAACAAAATCGTAGAGTCTGTTCACCTCTGTAAAGTGTAAACAGACTAACCAACTCAAGTAGACTTCTCATCCCATTGTAAATTTTGAAGCTCGTTTTTCATGTCTAGTTCATGTACGCCACACTGGGCGCTAGTATCGACGAAATTTTGTTTCTATTATTTTAGGGTTAATTTCTTGATTTGTGCTTTACTGTTTGGTTAATTAACTAGGGGACAATTTATTGTCTATGATTAGATCGTATTATTTGGTTAAACAAGGTTTTAAATTACCGGTTTTTTTTTACAGCATCATTTATTTTTGGTTCAATGTAGACATTATATATGGAGCTCAATGTCTCCAAATGCTTAGTTATATGTTTCTCAGTCGCATACAACGTAGTTCATGAGTATGCATCGACCGCAGAAGTCTTCTCAGCGTGGTCAAGAAATTCAAGGATCTTGGTGTGATCACTGTCCCTTCACTCAGCCCACATGATCACCTGATCCATATATATCCTCAAGAGCCTCTTCTCTGCTGGGGTTTATTCATCGCTCTACAATAAGATATCTCTCAAATCTCCCATTGCACTTCTCACGCTGTACAAATCCCTAGCCCGACCAATCTTGGAGTACTGCACTGTCATCTGGAATATCAAACTATGACAACACATTGAAATCTTAAACAGGATTCAAACACGATTTCTCAGACTACTGGGTCTAAAACTCGGGTTTCCTTTCCTGGACGTGCCTGTAGCAGCTCTCGGGGTGCAGTACGGCCTTCAACCGCTTCCCCTGAGACGGCAAGTCAACGACATTGTCTTCCTTTTTAAGCTGTCAGCTTAAAAACACAGACAGATGGGATAATTCACTGCACCGAACTCCTGAATGAAGTTGACTTTAAAACGCTCCCAGAGAAACCCGATCAAGAGCTGTGTTCAAAATTAGATATCAGTCCACAAATTATACCCTTTACCTTATAACCACGGAACCTCCAGACTGCTGAGATTTAACGAAGACGGCTGCCCACATCTAAAACTTCTTTTGGCAATCACCAGCATCTTTCAGGCGTGATGTCCAGAGGCTGCTTTTCTGATACCTCTCCGCACTCTCTGTGTCTTGGTTGTTAGTTTACTTGTGGTACCTCTAAAGGGCCACGCAGACGCCGGGGAGTGCTTGTTCGTGTCCCTTGGTGGGATTTGTCTCGTGGGGTTCCTTTGGTGGTGCCTTTAAAGGACCACACGCTCAACAGTGTGAAGTGCTGTTAGATGAGGTTAGAAAGTAGTGGCTATGCATTACTTTCTCCATTAAATATAGTTATAGATTTTATAGGATACTTCGCAATAACTTAGGAATTTTATTTGATCGGAAATCGGAATGGAGCATTGATGAAGCACCTGTTTTACTGCACTATCTGATCGATCTGCAGAAATCAGCTGACTTGATTACAAGCAAAGCGAAATTATTTCTTCCACCATAAAAAGAACCTTAGACAAGCATTTTTTAGATTATTATTTCTTATCCATGTACTTCCATTTACTATTACTATACTACACGATTACTAGAAAAAGTAATCGTGCTATACTATGAATACTTCGAAAACATAATCTTGAACCATCGATGTATAGAACAAAGAACAAAATACTTTTGGGATATATTATCCTTTAGATAGTCTACAAACAATGAACATAGAACCATAAATAAAAGGAGTATAGAGTATGTCTACTTCTTTTAATCTATGATAGAACCATAGACAATGACAAACTATGGTAAAATGGACACAAATTTAATCTATGATGAAACCCAACTTCACCCTCGATAAAGCGATAGCATAAAGTACCAATCTTAACCCAATGGTCCCTACGATTGACTAGTCAAAGTCAATGTTGTCCCTACCCTCTCTGTCAACGTCAACAGCTGTCAGTGGAGTGGAGGGGAGAGTGGTTACAAAATACTGAAGTTTAGTTTAACCTCAAAATGTGCTTATTTTTATTTAGGAGTCCAAGATATTAATTTCCTTTAAATACCAGTCTTATAAAATATTTTTTTAAGGTGAATAGAAATGCTGTTTAATAAATAGACACATTTTATTTGTAATTATTCTGATGCTTTTTACTGACTGCTTTTAGTGACCCTCCTAAAATAGGCTAGGCCTACTATTTTATTTTCACTCTTAAATTAGCACAGCAATTAAACTTATTAAAAAATACAGTGTAAAGAAGTGCCATTTCTGATATTGACTATATGTAAGGATATTAATTATGTATATTGTTTATAATAACAATGCCACATTTAACTTATACTAAAAGACTGATGAGTGAATGGTCATTAACCTAATTTCCAAAGTGTGGTTTATTGTTCCCAAGTAATGTCTAATGTAAGATTATTCCAACACTTGCCACTCTTAGTGTAGTTGAAGTTGAATACTGTTATTTTGTTTCAGCTTGATCTTGGTAAGTAGTTATGAAGATCAGAAAAGAACAGTTTTTGCTGCCTAAGGGCAAAGCTGTACCCACTAAAATTAGTGCGTCCAAATGGATTCAACCCAATACCATTAAAATTAGCGAACCTACCAAAACCACCGCAAACTGTAGGCCTGCCTTTTTTCAATCTCCACAAACCACGGTAGGTTGTTTGTACCGTACTGATTTGTAACTGTAAAATTTCTACATTAAGTTATCTTTTAGGTGACTTTAAGTTAGGGAGGGCTCAAAATATTTTGTGAACATAACTCCTCCTAGAGTTTTAACCAATTTTGACCATTTTGGTGTCATTTAAAAGATCTTGTTGAAGTTGTGCTTCTCTTAAAACGAGCTCATTGTATGGTAAGGGAATCGCACCAGTGGACCTCAAAGTTTCTATGTTAATACGAGTTTAACATCACTAATGCGAGTTTCTTATGGAATACGCCTAATAACAGTAGAATCATCTACGTTCTTTTGTATATTTGTATTTCAAGTGCCATATCTCTATATAACTTCTTGATCAGCATTGTACGTGTTATTAAATTTACGGAAAGTAAATGAAAGAAACGTCTTATAACACTTAAAACATATATTTACGCTTATAACCACTTACCATTTTTTTTGTATATTTACCGTCTTGTGAGTAACAGTATAAGCGTAAATATATCTCTATTTAAATATTTGATACTTAAGTTATTAAATTGCTGTACAACTTGCAAATCTGGATTAATTTGGATATCAGAAATGGAAGGAGGCAAGAAAGCTTGGAACATTTAATCCATTTAACTTTTACCATTTACCATTGGAGTTTTCACCGCAGTCCTTGAAGACCGGAGAATTGTCAAATCTTCTTAATCATTCTTCTTACTTACTTTTTTATATGTATGTAGTGTTGTAGTGTAGTGTGAGTGAGTGTACGGTTTGTGTTTGAGCGTTACTTTATAGTAAATGTATATGTTCTTCCTGATATTCTGTGATTTTGTAGTATAAGGTCGATTTATTGTATTGTATATTAAATTGTAAGCTATCTACGGAACTGTATCCAATTACAACATTGATTCCTACACACAGGAGACAAGAATGCCTGCCGAAAGACTACCACTTTTGTTAGAAAATATGAACTCTCATTGTGATAGTTGCAGAGGCATTCAAGTTCTTTCAAAATACATTCAAGACATGTCTGATAAAGTTGTAAAGACGGGGTTTTTCAGCTGCCAAATAAAGCTTTGTTTTTTTGACCAAACACAGAAAGTGTCAAGTACAGTACAGGAATTTTTCTATAAACCAAATTTGTCAATGACAACTCAGCGCCTAAAACACTTGCACAACATTCACAATTCTGGGCACTAGTAAAACCCACAAAAACTCATTATAAAGTCTGTAACAAATTTACATTTCATTTAAACTCTTTTCAGACTATTTTCACCTGCATCATTTCTCTTTCATCAGCAAAGCTAATCTATGTTTATGTTAAAATCAGGTGGACGCAGTATCTTCAGCCTTGATAACTAAAATCAAGCCAGATATGCTTCTATCAAACGGTGATTTTATAGTGTCCAGCCAGCCAGCAAATCAGCTCATTTGGCAGCACCAAGATGGTATTCTTAGACAGGTAAAATTGACAAACTTTGTGCACATAGCTCCGTATTTTGTGTGTACACAGCAAACTCCATTTGCAGCTCATGTACACATAACATTTTATAAGCTTTGTTATGGGCCTAATAAATTGGTCAATTATTGTATCTCATGCCGGATGCAAGATAAGACCAGTGAATACGTTTTTTGACTGTAAGTAAAAAATATCTGATGCAGTCATCATCAGATGTCTGGATATTTTGTAGGGCCATAATTGAAATGACTGAAGGTTAACTGCGAAATAAGTTAGCGAGTTTGAAAATGGCTCTGTTATAAATAGGTGTCTATATTTATGTTTACTTGTAGATACACCTTGTAAAAGTTTTATAGGAAGGTTCAAAACTACCTACCTATAATTTATTTTAACATCTCAACTTAAGCATACCTATCTACTATTTTAATCTTGTAAACACTTTATAGGCACTATTAACAGAAAAAGATGTCAAGTCCGAGGACAGTAAAATGGAACTAGAAACCAGCTCAGTTGGTGCCAATGCAACTTCAGTCCTCACTCTCACCCCTGTTCCTGCTGCTCAAGTATGTTAAATGTAAAAAAACAAAAAAAACTTTGTTAACTTTAAATTAGGCCTCTTTCAAGACAATTAATTTAGGTCTTCATGATCTTTTATCAGAATCAGAATGAAAGCAGACATTAACTTACTTTTCATTGAAACTCAAACCGTTTCAACTCATACACCATACGGTTAATTATTGTTAAATTACCTAATTAAATCAGACCTTGAAATGATTATCTTCCAGCTAATTATAAACTGCTAGCTTGTATTTTACAGCTGTAGTAAATTGCCACTAGTGCCAGAGTTTGTTATTCTGCTCTCATTTTACATTCATCAGTATAATGTGGTATCATGGTTTTATCAAGATAAAAAAACAAGTTTATTGGTTTATGCCCTTGTATAATGTATGTTTTTAAGGATACTGTCTCACTTCTATTAATTAGGTAAGACGTTTCGGTAAGTGTGTGTTTGATGTTTACTATTTATTTAATGTCATTTTAAAACAATCATGAGCCTGAAAAAGACTCTTACCCAACCATTGCTTGGCCGCCTGTATTTAAATCAAATAGTAAAGTGTGTACATGGTAAAATTTACCCTTAAATAGGTATGGTATGACATACTTACTTTACTTAGCAACACCCTTTAGGTACATATTTTTAGCTGAATCCTTATGCAGGGTGGCTGCAGAATGTAGTTCCGCATCAACGTTATATAGGCTGTACATTACATACATGTTTTTAACATCAACAGTGTAGGTCTTACCCTACAGTATCCAAAAGTTAATGACATTATTTTTTTATTAGGCTTCTAAAAAAACGTATGCTTTAAAATGAGTGAAAAAGTACGTGGAATAATTTAAAATAATTGAAATCTTTAATTCCAAGCAAAAAGACTGGGGTTTGGACTGTTTACTTAAAACTTTAAAAATGCAAAAGGTTTAGCCTAGATAGGTAAAGGAATAAAAAAATAAAAATTAAAACAAATGAAATAAACAAGGTCCTCCTATGTTACATTGTGTAACACAAGACTGAGCCTTCCTGTTTATGAGGGACTGACCTCTCTAAAAGGTTGGTACAACGTCACCAGGATATCTTGACCTATTGCATAAACGTTGCAGTTTCTTTATTGAATAACCATCGTTTAAGCATTCATTCAGTATTCTTATGAAGATTATTTACATTAATTGTTACTGACATACTAAAATCATTAATTTGTTGTTATTTGTCTTTAGTTTTTTAAATCGTATGTTGTTTTTTTTTTCAGGTAATAAAAATGAATGAATACAAAGTAATTCTATCCAGTGAACATTTGCCAATGACTTGGCAAGAAACTGGAAAGAAAAATGCTACATTGGCATTAACGACGTTACCAACGATAAAACCAAAAGTGGACGCAAGTCCTTCATTAATGATTGGAAAACAGCCTGTGACATTCACTGCGATATCCAACGTCAATTTGCTACCTCAGAACCAGTACTCTACGATTGTGATTAAAGATCTTAAAAACAATGTTCCAGCAAATATTTTACTCAGTAATCCTTTATTGTCACAAAGTCCGACGGGTAAGAAACCTATCACCAAACCTGTTCCGAGACTTGCAAAAGTCAGAAAGAAACCGATTACAGCGAAGAAGATAATGTTGAAACCACCAAGTTCTCTTCTCTCTCAGTCTGCATTGGAGCGCTCAAACGAAGATCGGATCGACGGATCTAAAAGTGAAAAATGTAGCAATGAAAATAGCTTAAATAGCACTAGCAATTCATGTGTAAATACGATTCCAAAGGATAATCCAACAACAGAAAACACACTTGCGAGTGCTTCCAATCTTGAAAAGTCATCAGTAAATAACAATATACCCATTTCCACACCCAACATCATCATAACACACAACAACTTTTCCTTCAACTCCAGTGTAGTTACCAAATCCACTGAAAACAATTTAACACTAACAAATTTGACTCAGACAACAAATTTCCCAGAGATTTTAAACACTGTTACAACATCAGAAGGTCACACAGAATTTGAATCGTCTGACATCGGTGTAATGGAACATACACTAGAAGACGGAGGAATAATAATCACCTCGGACGGTTGTGTGGAAAGTGAAGTTGAGAATTTAGACAGTTCAATTATAAATGAGACAGTTTTGATAGATTCTGACACACAAGTTGTTTGTGCTGACCAAGAAATGTTATTGGATACAGGTGTTGTGGTGGAAACTTGTAATGAAACTCCTGAGAATCTTGAAACCGTGAGCAACGAAGATGTCCATTTGGATCATGTTGAAACGATTTTGCCTTCAGACATTGAACATCATAATGGTAAGTAGGCGAAAGCAAAATATCTAAATAATTATGTTCTTTGGTAACATCAAATTTAAATAGTTTTGTAAGTAGGGCCTAAATGGAGTCGGTTTGTAGGTGATAAGTAATCTTCTACATCTAATTATCACGGTTTGTAAGTGATCTTCTACATCTAGAGCAATCAGTTGCTCCGATAGGGGGGTAAGGTACTCACCTTCCTCCACTTAGGTACCATTCGGCGGGTATAAAACCAGGGTGTTTGGCACCAGAAATAATTGAATATTGGTTATATTGGCCTTAAGTGGATAGGCTTTGCCAAGTTTAGTATTTATTTTTCATACAAGTTTACACGTATTTCTTATGGAAGGATTATTTGAATTAGATACCTATTCATTATATCTTGTAAATAATTGAACCGGAATAGTTACATCATATACTTTTCTTGTAGGAAATTCAATATTCTTTAATTTGCTAATTTAGTATTGTATACAAAAAGTTGGTAGGTAGTTTTCGAGTTCCTTATTTACAAAAAACCTAAAAAGGGACCTTTAGAGCCCCTTAGCCTCTTTAGCTCTACCTCCACTGGTGGGTAGGCCTACTTTTAGTATGTTGTTTAAGGACCCTTCCCCTAAAACTGTTCCAAATTTGGCTTATACAGTCCAACCTTAGTATAACGAATCTGAAGGGACCGAACTAAATATTCGTTATATCAAGGATTTCGTTAAAACGAGGTTCGTTATATTGAGGTTAGGTTTGCAGGAATTTCGCTAAGTCAAGGTTCAGAACCATCGTCGGTCAATATAGGTCGGGATTTGACCTCATTAAAATACAGTACAATTAAAGTAGCATAGGCTACAATACTTTACAGTACAGTGTTTACATTGTACAGTAGGTAGAACCTAAATTATCCGGCATAATAAAGGGGAGGGATCTTGAATATTGCGCAATCATGACAATGGCATTGACCTTGGTACAGGTTAAAAACTGTAAGTTTAAAATCACAGCTTGTTCTAACCCTCCTAAAACCTAGCCAAACACTGTATTGCGTAGTCATAAACCATGTAAAGAACAAAACAAAACAGTAGAAAGTTTTGCAAGCTACTGCTCGTGATAGGCCGGTAGGCTACTTACAGTACAGTACTGATTTATCACAACAGAGGAATGTCAATAATAATCATTAACTATAGCATTGGTGTTGCTAGTTGAAACAAATCGTATTGAAAACAATAAATTATTAGATAAGTCATTATAAAAGTGTATAATCATAGCCAACTTAAGGATAATAAAAACACTCGTAAAAGGAATGTTAAAATAACGATGTTGCTATTCTTTCTCTTTTGTTGTGTTTTTATATTCTTTCTCAGGTTTCTCTTTATCCAAAAATTGTACAATTCACCATAGTTATACCATATCGCCCAATCACAGCTTACTAAACATAAACATTACGTCGTCATCAGTCCTCAGTGAATGAAATCAGTTCTCAGTTGCAAGTTGCAACATAGCGCACGCATCGATAGCAGACAAAGATGTAAAACGGAGCAGATGAATGTTAGCGCAAGCGATGACGTGACCTTTCCATTTCATTTGATAAAGAAACAGATTTTCCCAAAACAATAATTGGGTGGGGGATTTGTTATATCGAGGGAAAGACGTAGACAATTCGTTATGCAGAGGTTAAATTCGCAATGTAGAGGTTCTGACAATGATAAATTCGCTATATTGAGGTGTCTTATTTTAGCCAAAATGACAAAAAATTCGTTAAATCAAGGTCGTTATTATGGTTTGTTCGTTATGTAGAGGTAAAATATACATTGTGTCTTATGGAGAGTTCTAGGGGATTTAAAAAAATTTGTTATATCAAGGAGTTCGTTATATCGAGGTTCGTTATATCAAGTTTAGACTGTACAAAAATTTTCCGCTACAATGTGTTCATTGCCTGGACTGTTATAGGCCTAAACGTTTGGTTTTTAATATTTTTGTATAAACATCATGCATTCTTTATAGCTGTGTTTTGATACTTGTTATAGAGAAGCTTGTACAGGGTTGATATATGTGATACTTAACTGACACAATTTTCCAGAACACCCCTCACAGGAGTATACAGACAAGTTGTTGTCGCAACTACAACTGTCTGATTCTCGGACACTGCCTAACATAACCAGCAGCCAGGTCTCGTCCGTTTTGAACGCTCTCGCACCCTCCGACAAAACTGATCTGGTCAGTAAACTTGTTAAACTCAATCATCAGTTTTCTCAAGCTTGATCGGTAGATTTGGCAAGTTTTGTCAGTGAAATTGTTAGCTCAATCATCTGGCGTATTACCGAGGGTCTACTGTAAGTATTTGGCTTAACATACGTAATTCGATTGGTTGGCTCAGTCAGTGGCATGGTAGACTACAGATCCATACAGCGATGTTGTGGGTTCATGCCCTACTATTTATAAGTCTTGTACTGGAATGACTCACTCCTTGCTTTGCTTCATGCATTACACTCACAATCTCGAGGCCCAATGTGGATGGAATGGAAACGTATGGTTAAAAGTAGGAAAAAACTTTATATGAAAACAGCTGTTAAGGTGGCTTCAGACATGCGCCATTCGCCAAGCACTGAACAGCGACTCACCAAATCGCAAGTAGTGAGGATAGGTGTTTGTCTCCTTGGTAAGCAGCAAACATTTGTGCTCGTGTTTTCCCATTCATTGTCAGTATTTTTGCACACATCAAAGTCAATGATAATTTTTCCTATTCCCGAAACTAACTGTTGTTTGGAAAACAACACTTATGTGTAGACGTCTACTTGTTAATCGGCTAGTAGCAAGAAAACTAGATCGCCGAACATCAAATATTTCGTGCTTTGCGAATGGCGCACGTCTGGAGCCCGCTTTAGATTTGTTCCAGTAATAGTACATGGATATTGGATATAAATGTGAATTTAAAGGTGCAAGATGTTTTATTCACACCTGACATTTTACTGCACATAAACGTCATAAACACTATCAACCGTACCAATCGTTATACTTGGCCTGTATCAAGCATGAAAATCCAAAATTTATTTAGAATTAATCACAAGAAGCCCTTCAACTGTTCTAAAGTAACGTTTTGTTTCTTATAGGATGAACTAACCTCTTTGACCAACGCCAAAAGTGACAAGGAACCAGTGAAATGTGAACCAACCGAGTTTGTGAAGATAGAAAGCTTGCAAATGCCTAATCTCATCAAGATGGTGAAACCAAAGCCTCCTGAACCTAAGTAAGTTTAAGTTTTTCTATTAGTTTTAGTGGATTTACCTATAAGGAAAAAGATGTATATATACATGTGTATAAATTTGAACAAATGGTATTTTTGGGCTCTGGAGACATCACAATGAAAACATAAATCAGTCCTGGGTCTTTCTGTGTGCCTAATTGCCATATTTATTTTTGTTGGTTTTTTGTTAGTGGTTATATAATTGATTTAAAAATGTTTTGAATGTTTTTGATTGAAAGATACTGTTTTGAGGCTTAGATTGTGTAGGTAATTTAATTATATTGCATCCAATTTTTTTATGATTAAAGATAATCCCTTTCAGTTTCAAGGGAATAATCTGAACCATGATTTTGTTACTTTTAATCATAAAAGTATAATTTTGTTTGTCTTGTTACCTTTTCTTGCCTGATGTTGACAACCAATAACTCTCTTATAAAAATAAAGTTTAGTTTTTGAACTAAATTAAATATTGTTCAAAGGTTTATTGCGGACATTTTCTATCACGATTGTAAAAAACAATACACACCGTTTCGGGATCTGGAATCTGATCCCGTCCTCAGCTGAAAAAACTTAACTAACACATTACAACTAACAATACACAAACGCCTAACCTTAGTTGGAATACACTACAGAAGGTAGCAGTCAAAAAATTAGTTATACAAATTCCTTTTTCCTCAATGCATGGATTAGTAGTGACTTCCGATGGTCTACAGATATCGTGTGTGTGAGCTGAACAAACACACGTGTTTCCGCTGTGTGAGTTGTTCCTTCCTGAGTTTGAGAGCGGAAAGTGTGGAGAACCACTGGGCGAAAGAACACTGCAACATTCGCACAGAGCTGCTCAACCGGCAGCTGACTAGGCGACAGATCAAGTGTCTCGGCTGTCCTAACGTTGTCTACTCCAAATATTCCTTGCAGGTATGTAGACAATAGACAATAGACAATAGACAAATAATCTTTATTTACACATTCATTAAGAAATAGTAGTAGCGTCAATTTACAATTTTTTCTAAATGTTTGGTTGAGGTGTTGTTTAGTCAAAGACCTGTTGATGGTATTCTTCTAATAGCCCAGTCAATCTAGGTAAAAAATCATGCAAACCCGGAAATGCGAGATATAAAGCTGAATTTTGGCACAGATGTTCTTTATGATATCCTTGACCATATCCTAAAAGTCCCCTACCGTCCCCTGTTTGCTTCTTCCGGTATAAAGATAAAAGGGGGCGAGGGGGCGCAACTTATTTAAACGCACATTGAACGCGATAACTTGAGTAATTTTGGTCCGATTTTGATAAAATTTGGCTTGAAGGTGAAAGGTGGGATAAACTTAAATGAGTTGCAAAATCAGCATAATCAGACCATGGGAACGGGTGTTTACGGGGGGTTTTATGAGGTAAAAATTGGGTTTTATGGGGTAAAAATTGAATTTTATCATTTTTGATCCTCAAAACACAACAATTTCTAATTTCTCTCTGAACCATTTAAAAAAGCTTAAATGATCAAATATTTTAGTATAATGAAGTGTTTGTGTAAGGTTATTGGTTGGGAAGAAAATTAAAAAAAATTAAAAATTCCCATGTTATTCTTAAGGAGAGTAAGCTGTTGTAGTTTGCTTGTTTACGGATATATTTTGATCAAACTTGGAAAATCAACTTAATTTATAATATTAATAAGCTATTGATATTTTACTACAAACGCACTTTATTACACTCCCTGTAGCAACAAGCCTAGGTACTTGTTAGGCATAATGTTATTTCAATATATTTAATAAAAAATCCAATCGGGCAAATGGAATTTCACTTAGTCTGCAGGTTTGCTGCGGCGGGGGTATTTTCATACAAAGTTGCACTGTCCTAGATTTACTTTATCAATGGTTTTCGTCAACACTACACTCCATTTTTTCCCTTAAAATGTATATTTAAGCTGGGAATAGTATAAATAAACTCCAGAATAAACGTGGACAATGGTGTAAAAACATATCATAAGCATGGTATTCAATAAATAATATACAGGATACAGTAATATTACAAAGTTTTACTATTACATTTTTAAGTACAATCAGAAAAGGTTTCTTTTCGGTTCATAGAACAGAAAGGTTCTGGGGTGGAAACTGGACAGATATGGTGATTGAGCAGGAGCTCATGCGTTCTTTGAAAGTATCAGGTGGACTTATCCATGGAAGAGGCGTCACTGACAGTAACTTGGCAAAATTTGTCCTAGCACGTCCAGCCTGTTCTGTTGTCACGAATGCTTTTGAAAAATTATGTCATATAAATCTGGAACTACAGAACAACATGTTGAGCTACGAGATGCTCGGCAATCAAGAGATGATAACGATTTATACAAACTACTTTGTTGGCTAAAGTCACATTCGCCTTTCAGTGTTGACATAAATTGAGGTTTGATTTCTTTGTCAACTGGAACAGTTGCTGACGCTAAAATAAACCCGGAAACCGCCACAGAAACAGGACTTCTTGCAATGACTTAAATGACTGGCCAAAATTTTGGTGATGTAAAACTAAAAAGAAAAAGTAAAGTTATTCCACTTGCTGCTGTTTATGCCACTATCAAAGTAAGAGGTCACGAAGTTATAGAAGTGAATCCGAATCAACTGTTTTTAGATTATAGTGTTTTTTAAAATCACCATCTGATTATGAAGATTACATGGCCTTTGAATTGGCTCCGAGGCCACCTTCTCTCCTTAACGAAGCAGCGATGAGAAAAACTGCCAAGTCAGCACTTTGTGATATTATAGAGATGAGCACACCTACCCTTCATAGTTGGCCTCAAGACTGTGTTTATGTATTGGACGGAGGACATTTGCTTCATCATGTTGTTTGGCCCAAGCCTGCCACATATGGACAAATAATTTCAGTATATTATTTCAGGCTGAATTTCTCGGTAATGCTGCAAATAAAATCCGACTTATAAGTGAACTAAAATCACACTTTGATCGAGCTGGCTTTTCAGTTCTACAAGCTGCAGCAGATGCTGACTTTTTGATTGCTTCAACAGCTCTTCAGCAGTGTTCTGAAGGTATGAAAACAGCTGTGGTGGGTACAGACACTGATCTTCTAGCACTTCTTGTCCATGGAATTAAAAGGTCAGATACATTGTTCTTCATCAAACCAGAAGGCAGTAAAGGTTCCTACAAAGTTTACACAGTAATCGAAATTAGTAGTAACTTAGGCAATATGAAAGACTGTATACTGTTTGCACACACATTTTCTGGATGCGATACAACATCCGCAACGTTTAGAAAAGGGAAAAAAGTGCCCTGGAAAGTGTTGGAAAAAAGTGTGGAACTTCAAAAAATGTCAGATGTTTTTAAAGATTCAACTGCTCAGCCTGACAAGTTAACATCATGTGGAGAACTATACTTTCTTGCAATATACGGAGATACAAAGTGCAAAACATTAAATGAACTAAGGTACTTCATGTTCAATAAACTGATAGCTAGACAGAAAATTACTTCAAGCTTTGTTTTGTCAGTTTTACCGCCTACTTCGGATGCCGCACGCTTACACACTTTGCGGGTTTACTATCAAGTGCAGAAATGGCTTGGGAAGGATCTGGATCCATGTTCATGGGGTTGACTTGAAAAAGACGGCGTTCTTGTACCTTAATCTATGACTTTGCCACCGGCACCTGATAAACTCTTGAATTTCGCTACATGTGATTGCAAGAAAGAGTGTGCCCGATTGTGTGATTGCATAAGGTCATGATTAGCTTGTTCGGCAATGTGTGCTCATTGCCAAGGTAGAGACTGCAACAACACACTGCAGACAATTGATTTAGAGGAAGAAGAGATACGTTGATAGTTAGTAATGTTCAGTTTTATAATAGGTATAAAACACACTGTTCAATACAATTGCTTAACCTACTGTTGTGCATATGTAACTCTTAAAAAATTGGGTTTCATATTTTAAGGGTGGTTAATCCAATATTTTGTACAAATATTTTTTTTTGTTAGTAATCTTTTCTGATTGTACTTAAAAATGTAATAGTAAAACTTTGTAATATTACTGTATCCTGTATATTATTTATTGAATACCATGCTTATGTTATGTTTTTACACCATTGTCCACGTTTATTCTGGAGTTTATTTATACTATTCCCAGCTTAAATATACATTTTAAGGGAAAAAATGGAGTGTAGTGTTAACGAAAACCATTGATAAAGTAAATCTAGGACAGTGCAACTTTGTATGAAAATACCCCCGCCGCAGCAAACCTGCAGACTAAGTGAATTTCCATTTGCCCGATTGGATTTTTTATTAAATATATTGAAATAACATTATGCCTAACAAGTACCTAGGCTTGTTGCTACAGGGAGTGTAATAAAGTGCGTTTGTAGTAAAATATCAATAGCTTATTAATATTATAAATTAAGTTGATTTTCCAAGTTTGATCAAAATATATCCGTAAACAAGCAAACTACAACAGCTTACTCTCCTTAAGAATAACATGGGAATTTTTAATTTTTTTTAATTTTCTTCCCAACCAATAACCTTACACAAACACTTCATTATACTAAAATATTTGATCATTTAAGCTTTTTTAAATGGTTCAGAGAGAAATTAGAAATTGTTGTGTTTTGAGGATCAAAGATGATAAAATTCAATTTTTACCCCATAAAACCCAATTTTTACCTCATAAAACCCCCCGTAAACACCCGTTCCCATGGTCTGATTATGCTGATTTTGCAACTCATTTACGTTTAGCCCACCTTTCACCTTCAAGCCAAATTTTATCAAAATCGGACCAAAATTACTCAAGCTATCGCGTTCAATGTGCGTTTAGATAAGTGGCGCCCCCTCCCCCCCTTTTTTTCTTTATACTGGAAGAAGCAAACAGGGGACGGGCGGGGACTTTTAGGGTGTGATTTTACATACCATAACGGACATCTGTGCAAAAAATTAGCTTTATATCTCGCATTTCCGGGTAAAAACCTAGATTGACTGGGCTATAAGGAATAGAAAGGTCGATTAATGAGCCATTGATGCAAAGCTGGTTTGAGGTCATCTTCTGACTTGCTTCTTAGATCTGGAGGTAGCCTGTTGTAGATTTTCATTCCTGCGTATGAAGGTTTCTTTTCAAACTGTGCCGTGCGATGTTGTGGAAGGTTGTACTGCATGGTGTTTCTCAGGTTGTGTTGGTGCATTTCGCCACGCCTTGTAGGGTTATTTCTTACTGCAAATAACACAACTTCCTGGATGTAGAGTGCTACAAGGGTAAGTACTTTGAGTGACCTGAATGCTTCCCTGCAGCTGTCGAGTCTGTGGAGTCCTGCAGTTATTCTGACTGCCTTTTTTTGTTTTCTGAGAACTCTTTGCATGTTAGTGGCAGAGGTTCCACCCCATGCTACAAGTCCATATCTCATATGCGACTCGAAAAGTGCAAAGTATGCTACTTTTGTTGTCATGTCATCTGTTGCATTTTTTATATGTTTAAGAGCATAGATGGTTGAACTTAATTTTTTACATATATTGTCCACATGAGGGGTCCAGGTTAAATTCTTGTCGAGTGTGATGCCCAAAAACTTAGCTTCATCTTCCACTTCTACATCTGGGAGTCGTGGCACTTCTTGAGATTTACGGCCAAAAGCTATTTGAGTTGTTTTAGACGTGTTTACTGCGAGATCATTGTTATAGCAGTATTGGTAGGCCATACTGAGTGACACATAGGATTTTACTTCTAGATTTTCAGCTAGTGGTTCATTAAACACTAAGGTTGTGTCATCAGCATACATAAGAGTAAGGCAGGCGTCTCCTATTTGTTGCGGCAAATCGTTGGTAAAAAGAATAAACAGTACCGGACCCATAACTGAACCTTGGGGAACTCCTCGATTTATTGGTTGAAAATTTGATCTTGTTTTTCTTATTAGGCTGTTATCTCTGTGCCTTAGTTCTACAAACTGACTCCTGTCTGTAAGGTAGCTTTGAAACCATTCTCTTACTATCCCTGATACCCCCAGGGAATCCAGCTTTTTAATGATTAGCTGGTGGTCAAGGCAGTCAAATGCCTTACTGAAATCAAGAAAGATTCCTGTTGTTAGATTTCCTTCATCTAGGCTGTCAATCAGGGACTCAACCATCTGAATTATTGCTGTTGTTGTGGATTTCCCTTTTGTAAATCCATGTTGAAGGTTGTTTAGTAGGTTGTGATTTGTGCAGTGGTCTAAAAGTCTTTTTAAAACAACTTTTTCGTATATTTTGGAGAAGGTGGAAACTAGGGAAATTGGTCTGTAGTTGCTTGCTTCTAATGTGCTACCTTTTTTAAATTTCGGGTATACTTTAGTTATTTTAAGTAGTGAAGGAAAGATGCCTTGTTTTAGGGACTTATTTATCAAATCAGCCAATGGTAGTGCTAGTTCATTGCAGCAATGCTTAAGTATTTTTGACGAGATTTCATCAATTCCAGACGAGTTTTTTGCTTTAAGTTTGTTTATAATCATTTTAACTTCCTTCTCGTCTGTGCTTTGAAAGGAGGAAAACAGTGGACCTGTTTGAGTTACGTCAGGAGTTTGAGCTGTGGTCTTTAGGTGTTTTTGTTTCTCTACTGTTTTTTCTCCTACTTGTGTAAAAAATGTATTCAAATGCTCTGCAACATGGGTCACATTACTTATGAGTTGGCCATCTACTTGAAGGGTTATTTCATTTAGGGATGTTTCCTTTTTGGACCACACTGTGTTTATTGTTTCCCAGATAGCTTTAGATTTATTTTCAGCTTTCATCAACTGGTCAGAGTTAACCTTTTTCCGCATCATTTTCAAGTACAGGTCATAGTTCTTTTTATTTTCAATAGAAACCCTTCTGTCATCTGGATTTCCCGTCACCTCAAACTTTCTTAGAGCTTTAAGAAATTCGGCTTTAAGTCTCACTGCTTCTGGGTCCATGGAGAATTTTAGTTTATGTTTTCTTTGTATTTTTATCTTCTTTTGGGGGCAGGCTGCATCCATAGCTACTCTCACTATGTTACTAAAAGTTTTAAAAGCTTCTTCGGCATTGTTTATTGAGGTAACACTAAGCCAGTTTTCTTGACTGAGAAGATACTTGAGGTCTTGCAGGTTTTTATTTTTTAGACAGCGTCCAATTTGGGCAGGATAACTTGAGTTGATGTGTGAGTTGAAGTTTACAGTACAGAGTTGAGCAGTATGATCCGAAAGTCCTGCATTGATGATTTCTGGAGTGAGTTGGTTTGTGTCCATATTTGTACATATCCAGTCAATGGAGGTTTGTGTTAGATTTGTTATTCTCGTAGGTGGAAGCTGTAGTCTCTGGATGTTGTGCATAGCAAGAGTTTCATTTAAGATAATGTGTTTCCTGTTTGGGTTACACAAATCAACGTTAATATCTCCCATGATGATAAGAGGGGAATTTTCAATTTTTGTTTCCTCAATTAGTTCTGTAAAGGTGTTTAATGATTCCTCAAGGTCTCCGTTTGGGGGTCTGTAGGTTCCCAGTACAAACAGATTTGAGTTCTTGAATTTTATTTTTATAAGAGCTGCTTCAAATAACAGTTCTTTACAGTACTTGGAAACATCTATGGCTACTGTGCTGCTATCAAGGCTTTCTTTTACAAGAATGCAAACACCTCCTTTTCTGTGTTCTATTCTACTATAGTGAGCCTTGAGGCAGAATCCAGTAGCTATGACGGTGCTACTTATTGTCTCAGGTTTCAGTCCATGTTCTGTCAGAATTACTATGTCAGGTTTGGTTTCTTCTAAAAGGTGCTGTAGTCTATTTATTTTATTTGAGACTTCCTGTGTATTTTGGTGCAGCAGGATGAGTTTGGAGTTTACATCCTGACTCGATTGTCTAAAAAACAGTCAGGTTGCGTTTCTCTTGTCTCTGCTGATTTTTGCAGTTTTCTTAAAGTAAAATCAGGCTGCGTTGGAATAATCTGAGAAGGTGAGGAAAAAACAAAGTTATTATCCTGTAGCGATGCAGCCTCCCTTTTTACTAAATATCCATAATGCTTCTTCATATGTTCTGAATAAAATCCTATATTTTTTACAAAGAAATCATTGTAATCCTCGTCTTTGCTCTTTGGCTTAGCATTTAGGGGTGGAAGTTTATTTTTATTTTTAGTCTCTTTCAGGCTTTCTTGAGCTTTTACTGTTTGTGACACTTGTGACAGTTTTTGTGGCGGGGTTTGGCTGGTTCCCCCTGTTGATACTTGTTCCGTTGAGGTCTCAGATGACAGTTTTTTCGTAGGAGTTTGTCTGACTCTCCCTGTTGCAGTTTCTGTTGGCAGTTTTTTAGTAGGAGTTTGTCTGACTCTCCCTGTTGTAGTCTCGGTTGGCAGTTTTTTAGTAGGAGTTTGTCTGACTCTCCCTGTTGTAGTCTCGGTTGGCAGTTTTTTAGTAGGAGTTTGTCTGACTCTCCCGGTTGTTGTTTCAGTTTGCAGTTTTTTCGTTGGAGTTTGTCTGGCTCTCCACGTTGTGTTTTTGAAGGTTTTGCTGGTTATTTCTCGGCAGTCAGTAGCAAGTTTGTGATTTGTTTGTTCTAGGTATTTAGCATTTTGCAGGGATACGCTGAATATGTTAGTTCTGTTATGATTTCTTTGAGCCCTTTTATTTTTTAATGAACTTGGTGTTGGAATGGAAGGATTTGTATGAGTTGTCGGAGAAATGGTGTACGTTACTTACCGTGAGAAACCCAATACAGAGGAACTTTGGGTCAAATACCAAGTAAGTGATAAAAAACTATCAACATTTTTTAATTAGTCAAATTTAGCAATAAAAAAGGAAAACTCAAATTTAAAATTTACAACTAGATTGAAAACACAAAAATATTAAATGAATAAAAAAAAATTAAATTAAAAAAAAATACAAGAGTGGCCATACAATGTGTAGAGGATTCGGTAAAAATCAATTCTGTATGCTGATGAGCAGTTTGCAAAGGTGTGAGCTAGGATTTGAGCCACTCTCTTTCAGGTGGAAGGCCTTGCAAGATGGGTAAATCAGGTCAAAAGCATATTTATTTACCTCCATCCTCTTACCAGAGTTCAAGCTGCGGTAGCATTTTTAGCACTTTGCTATAGACAACTTAAAGATGCTATATTGTTTTGCAGACTATAGCAAATTTGCTACAAATAAAATTTAAGATTTATTTAATGATCAAACACATAATATTACTAGTAATATTTTAAAAATTGCTTACAGAATAATATTTTTGCCACAGTTGTATGAGAGTTTGCAGCATTTATGATTTTTGCTAAAACAATTTTCATCCCAGCCTATACCCTGCCTCTTACTAAATGCCAATTCCAGGAGGAGGTAAATGACTTTAACACTGGGAGTCAGGGAAGAGGAGTTAGCATTGTGTATCTTACTGTTCCCTTAAGTTACTGTTTTACCTGTAAACTGTACATCCACACTCTTAGAATGCACACTGTCTTACTAGATAGTAGCACAATAGTAAGCTGTGAAGAATATGAAGTAAAGTACGTGTACATCAGCTTCCCAAGACCAGCTAGATGATAAATATTGTTTGCTTTGGTCCTTACTTTTTGTAACTTTTTCCTTAAGTAGCTCTGAGACACAATGTGCAACCCAATTTGACCCCTAGATAATAAGAGTATTCTTTGTCATTTAGTCAAACACTTGTAAAACCCACTTTAAATTTTTGTCATTTCATTTGCTAATCTTTGTCTCATTCATATTCCCAGATTCATTTACTTTGTGACCATAATGTTATCACGACGGAAGTTAATGAAGTTATCGCCACAACACTTGCTGCCAACAAAGCTCTGAGAGATGCTAAACGACCTCGTAAGTGTTGCAAAATGTCTAATAGAAAACATGTTGAATTTCACTTTCATTTGAGAATGTGGACTTTAGCAGGGTGTCTAGCAGTCAAAGAAATAACAAAAGTTAGAAGTTATGGAAAGTCACTGATTTTACTAGTAGTAGAAGTTACTGAATAGTAATGGAATTTATTTCAAGATTCCGAAAGTCGCTGAAAAATCGGGCTAGCTAAAATAAAGTTCCTCAGACCTGTTGTTCCTTGGTGCAAACAATGATAATGCAGAATCAGTGAGAGCAAACATAATTTTTGGAGCAGGCAACCAGCTCACAGTATGGCACGAAATATTTTGTGCCCGAGTATCTCGTCAAGTCACTGAAAAGCTAATTGTCTTATGGGTACCAAAGGTTGTACGTTTTCACATTGTTGTCCTCCCTTAAATTCACTGAAATTCAGTTTGATCAACTGGTAGACACTCTGCTTATTGAAAATTTAAACACATTATTTATGATGTATCTAGTTTAAAAAAGGATGTCTTGTAAAACTTGACTTGAATTTCATGAAATGTGATTACGTTATGAGTTTATACATGCAACAAGTATTTTAACAAATGTTTCTAAAAGTTTTAATACAACAATGAATGCATAGAAAATATAAGAACTAAACAAATTTAGACTCACAACTAAAATGGCTAATGCTAGTTGCTACAGTATTAAATCAAAACAAAATGAAAATTTGTTGTAATTTTCCCATACAGTATTTCCTAATACAAGAATGTTATAAAACAGAATTTACTTTGAAGATATCCTCATTGACTTTCCTTCTTATTCACAGTCTGATACCATTTTCTTCTTCGATCAAATTTCATAAGAATTAAAGAAAATAATTACCTGACAACATAAAAGGGATCAGTTGGCTCTACAAAACTAAAACAATTTGATTTTTTTCAGAGCATCAAAAATCAACAAGTGCCAAAGCCAAAGATGTAGTGCCGCGTTTACAGCAAAGCAAAGAAGGAGAAGTACAATCAGCTGTTTACCAATCCACCTTCCCTGCTGAGCCCATGACCGTCGCGAAAGAGACGGCCAACGTTAGCGAGCAGAAGACGAGTGAAGAACCTCAGTTACCCTCGACACCTAGCTTCACACTCTTCACTGACATTCAGTTACCCAAAGGTAAACAATCTGATATATTATAGTGATGATGCTACATTTGTAGCATGTAAACTATCACACAAGGAATTGGAGTGACGTTACTTCCCCATCCCTCCTGATGACGTCACATCCGGTTTTGGTCCGAAAGCCTTGTTTTCATAACACTACTAGCTCTTCATACAAACAATCTGGCAGAGTAGCCACCACTGTCAATAAGCTAAACTGAAATTAATTTACTTTAAATCGAACCGATATATAAACTAACTTACAAACAATCTAAACAGGTATTTAGCAGTAGAAAAAATATCCATCCATTAGATTAGATTGAATCTATTATGGCTAGTTAAAAGCCAAGGTAAAATAAATTCTCATCAATAATATTTTTCAATTCATTCCTACATTTTCCATCTTGTTTATTATAAAAAATAAAGTTTTTATTAATGTTTAATGACATACTGACTGCCTAGTAGGCTAATAATAATAATAGTAATAGTAAGACATTATAGACTAAAGAGCTGATTTGAAAATATCAGCGTTTTCTCTCTTTGCTATTTAAACGTTGGTTACGACAACCTAATACAATGCAATTTCTTACCATGACAGCTTACTGAAATTGATAAGATCAGCATATTACTCCCAATCATCTTGATCTGATTGTCATTTGCGTTGTATTTATCATCAGAATCATGTTATTTTATTGGTTATTTATTGCCAAAATGTGTAAATTACTAAATAAAAACACTTCATTCCTTACACCTCAAAGTTTGCTGGTTCTGAGTAATTTTAATTTAATTTGTTTTTTCTTTTGCAAGGTTTAAAAAATAAAATTCAACTCTGCACACATCTGAATATGAACTACTATTTTTTTCTTTCAAATAAAAATGTTGATGTGTCCTACTTCACAGTAGCAGGTGGAAATGCAGTTGTAAACGATTTGTTGTAACCCTATATGAATGGATCAATCTTTACTCATAACAAATACCAGTCTATATATTTGGTAATGCATAGTGTGTTGTAGAATACTTTGTACAGAAATAAGGCCTTACTAAAAAAGAAAATAAGCAGTTGGATACAATATGTAATCAGAAACATGTAAAATCAATCAAATCAACACAAATATCGTCTTCCAGATAGATTTTTGTGTTAACACAAATATATAGTTTTGAAGAAAAAACAAAAAATCTTTTTATTTAATATTTTTAGTTTGTCCTGATAATTTAAACTTTTGTAATTGGAAACCCAAAAAAGTATTTTTTAGGAAGAAAAAACTAAGAGAGAACTGTGTACAAGTAAATTACTACAAATTACAGTGAGTTTCAAAGATGGACAGTGCAGTGAAAAAATAACTATATTATAGTTCAATTTAAAGCTATATTGGTTTAAAATTCTGTTTCATTTTGGTTAAAGAGAAGAGAATCTCATTATGAAACAAAACCGCACCAACATTTCTGAAACTGTACATCTCCCGGTGTTAAGGATGATTGTTGTTCTGCGTAGTTTATCATTACATCAAAGACAGCTGCAGCATCTCAGTTGGGTACTTTTGATCACTGTCGTCTGATTCTCCTTCACAATGTCTGAGATGTCCAATTCTGTCAAAACCTATATTCTGTTAAAATTTTTGTTTTGATTTATCTTGGTTTGAAATAAACAAACTTTTAAGGTGAAATGGTATTGGTCTCCATAATTTCTGAGTATTGGGAATCCATTGTATTTATTTTAGTTTCCTCTGTTATACATGTAGGTACGGTACATATTGTGGTTACAAACTTTGTATTTTTGTGTCTCATTTGATGATATTAAGTCCGTCAGAAACGTTTAATCTTAAATGTTGATTACTGTTTACATTCAGATTTTCGTTCGGTTTGACGAACTTGGGCATCGAGAATAATTGAACCACTATCACTAAAAAGCTAGCCAACGAACCGATGATGGTCGGAATTGTCTCTTTCTTCAGCAGAAAGTACTTACTAGCAGAAACAGAGATGGCCACGCTCTTAACTTGCAGTGTGAACTGTAGGATCTCGTCGTAGAACTGTTCAGGCTTCTCCGCTAGTGGAAGTTCTCTAAGGACTATGAGCACTTTTCTGCTAGCCTGGCTGAGGGTCTCCGAGGTTGAGATGATCATGTATATCATAACACAGTTGAACAGCAGGCCTAAAGTGTCTTGCACTGCTTTGAAGTCTTTGTGATCGACAATACTGCCTACCTTGGCGAAAAGATCCAAAACTGTAAACACAAAATATAACAAAATCTTGAGAGAGAAACAAGCAGCAAAGCTGTGAGCCGCTGTACACAGAGCCAGATGAAGTTTGCGAATTCTTTCTAATTTTGTCAATAGAGGGTAATTCTTTAAATCCTTGTTAAACAACACTTCTCGCAAGTCTCTGGTTATACATCGAAACCTTTCTGCCGCTGCATACGCTGTTAGGATATACGGGAGTATTATCAACATCCGGGTTAAATTCATGATCAGGTAACAGGCGTCTTGTAAGTATTTATACCATTCCTTTCTTGGCTGAAACGGCATTAACCAGTGTGAAAACAGTATCGAGCTAAACAAAGAGTAAACTAAGTAAATTTGTAGTCTCTTCAGACTCAACGTCAGTTTGAAAATATCCCTGTCTACTGATTGAACCTGTGAAAGCGCTCTTGTGTAGGTTGGTAGCTCGTGGTACGTTAGCAAAATCCAAATGACGTACTCAGCTTTGATCATTGGTTTAAATCTTCGGAAATAGTGAGTTGTGTAGTCACCATATATTTTGTCAATGATAAAAGGACAAGTGAGCAAAACCAACGATACAAGAAGTGAATTTAGAACTTGCCTGCTGACCGAATGGAATCTCAAACGGTTGCATGATTGTCCAAAACTGTGTTTTACTGGAAACAATCCTAATAATGTGTTTATAGTGAGAACTGGACGCACTTGCTCGTACAAGCGATCCTTCAGAATCAAAACATCCAGTGAAAAACGCCTCTTCATAATTTGTAGCCCTCAAAATATTCTGAGTAGTACTGTAAGGTAAATCAAAGACTTCTTCTGAAATGAAATATTATGTAAACAGCAGTGTGGTGGTGACAGCTAACTCTTGATAACCAATTTGATGGACTTGGTAAAAGTTTGAATTTCACTTGAAATGTTGATTGTTTATTAATTATTTAGGGTTTACTTCAAGTAAACAGTGTGGAAAATCCCTCAATAATGATTAAAAAGGATGGTTATCTCGTATTTGTGTTTGGATTAGGATTTTAAAACCCTTAAAATATAAATTGGGATGTTTTTTTTATTTTAAGAAAATTAATTTGAGTGTTTCATGCTCACTTCTACAGCAAGTATCACTGTAGAAATTCTACTGACTTTCAATAAAGTTAATTGCCTTTCAAAATGAAAAGTAGCCTACAAAATAATTTCAACAAAAAGTTGAAAAAGTAACAAGATTGTTTGAATATGAATATTATAACTTCTTGTTCAACTCCTTCTCTTCCTGGATAGCTAGCACACAGATAAATAAAGTGAAATGAAATAATATTGTATTTCCCAATTGAAAACAAAATACAATTCATGGTATTTTTACATAATAAATTATATACAATTCTTACACTTAGAAGTAGTTACAAACAGTTTTATAGCTAAATGGCACAAAGAAAAAAATACTTCATCAAATTATATGGAAAATATTTTCATAGATAGGGGCCTGTGCGTAGACATGAGTTATGGGTATATTTATTTTAATGGGAAATGTATTATTAGAAATAATTATTATATACATCTGGATATAAATTGTTTCTTGCTTGGAACTGGATTATGATATTTTTCTGAAACTAAGAAGATACAAAGCCATATTTGTCTGTGCTATACATAGGGATGGAGGTAATAACATTGGTAATAAAATAATTAAATTTACCTCAGAAACATTCTTGTTTTGTTAGATATAAAGACAAATTCTATTTAAGCGATTCATAACTGATGCATCAATTTAAATTTGTTTACATATACAGATTGTAAGTGTGAACAATCTGCTTACATTATTTACTAATGTTGTTCTCAAATACTCTAATGGACGTTTTAACATACGAGGGTTGTTTTTTTTTCAACCTCCGATAGGCTATGAACAAAAAACAAGTTCATATAAAACATTAAATTTATTACCAAAAGTTTGGTCCATTTATGGTTACTTTTTGAGTTTTTGACATAATCACCAAAGAGATTGAGACATTTGCTGTATCTGTGCACCAGCTTTTTAATACCCTCTTCAAGAAAAGTGGCCGCCAGTACATTCAAAAAACAAAAAAATTCAAAAAAACAAAAAATGTCAAAAAAATAAAAAAATCTAGAAAAAATAAAAAAAGGACTTTAAAATTTCTAGAAATTCAGTAAACAAAGCAATAATGGTGAATCTGTGGTTTATTTAACCATCCTGTCAAACTGTTGAACCAAGTCATCTGAAACGACAGTAATGAGCTGGTTCAACAAGTTGGCAGAATGGTTAAATAAACCACAGATTCACCATTATTGATTTGTTTACTGAATTTCTAGACATTTTAAAGTCCTTTTTTATTTTTTCTTAATTTTTTTATTTTTTTGACATTTTTTTGTTTTTTGAATTTTTTTTGTTTTTTGGAATGTACTGGCGGCCACTTTTCTTGAAGAGGGTATTAAAAAGCTGGTGCACAGATATAGCAAATGTTTCAATCTCTTTGGTGATTATGTCAAAAAGTAACCATAAATGGACCAAACTTTTGGTAATAAATTTAATGTTTTATTTGAACTTGTCTTTTGTTCATAGCCTATCGGAGGTTGAAAAAAAAACAACCCTCGTATATTAGGCGTTTGCTGGTTTGAAATACTTAAGCAGGCTTGGTCCGAGTTAAAAAAAATCAAGGTGTTTAGGATACAACTGTAAAATTAATTTTATGTTTTGTTTCAGATAAGGAAGTTGCTTCTCCATCCAACCAAAATCCAAAGACTGAAGATAGCAAAACTGTAATAAATGACAAAAAGGTTGCTCGACGCCTTAGAAGAACAGCGAGGAGTAAACTTAAGGCAGAGTTTGGTTATGAAATCAAGTACAACTTTAGGTAAATCCCATACTATAATACGAGCTAAGTCTGTTCTAGCAAATCAGTACAAAGGGAAAAATGTCAGTTGTAACTATTTAGCAAAGATTACACTGAACATTACTCGACAGTTGACATAGTGTTTCGTATTGGTGACGTCAATTTTTATTCACTGTTTTATTGTTTACATAATTTGGACTGCTGTATTAAGTTGAATTATAGTATTAAAGTTAATTCTATTACAATAATCTTTATATTAAGCAATATACACTTTACTGTATTTTCAACGTATGAAATGTGTAAGATTAAAATAAATTAATGTGTTGGATTGCCAAGTTAAAATTTCCATCATAATAAATAGAAATTGCGCTTAAACTTAAATAATAAAAGCCAAAATTAGTTAACCTATAAAGATAACGCGAGTTTCCATACCGAGCCATGGCTCGGTCCCCCGGTACTGTTATATAATACATAATAATAATAATAATATATGTTAAGATAAAAATAGATATGGCTAGTAATCATGCCAGGAATCGAACTTGTTCCTCTTGCACTGAGAAGCTAATCAACACAACACACCCATGATTAAATCAACATGATGAAATACCAACAAAACAACACTATTGCCAGCTGATGTAATGCATCACAGTTATTTCGGGAGGATTGAAAATATATTGTTTGTATACTTAATAGTCATAAAATTAAGGTTTCAAAAAATGGCTCACAAATTTCTCAGTATGTTTTGTTCACAAATACTAGAAAAGTCCCGATATGGATCATAAACATAAACACATATTTGGCCCGAAAGTAAACAAAACCATATGTTAATTACTGCTAATAGTATAGGGGTTTTGTTTACTTTTTTTTTAAATCATTTGTTTATGTTTATGATCCCTACCAGAATTGTTCAAGTATTGGTGAGTATGTTTTTACAAAGGAGGTATTTTTTAAACTTATTTTTAAATCCAAACTTAAGAATTGTATTATTAACATTATTTTTAAGTTGTTTAAGATAAATGAACCATATGTAGATGTTACTTGTTCTAAAAATATCATACAGTGGAACTTGGATAGTTGTGTTGTAAAAATAATGACCAGTGAAAAATCAAATTGAAGAACTTTTTGAATATTAGATGTTAGAATTAAGCATGTTTCACTGTGAAGGTGTATGGTGGAGAAGTGTGGCGTAAGGTTTACGACGGCCACCAACCTGAGTTACCACCTGCGTTGTCACCTGCCAGACTCCGAAGTGTTCCGATGTCCGGAGTGTGACCTAGCGATGGGCAGCTGGAGCAGCGTGACATCCCATCTGTGGCGGCAACACGGGGTAGACATCGACCTGTACTGCTGCAAGCTGTGCGGCTACAAGTGCAACAGGTGATTTTGACAAACAGTCTGTATAGGAAGTAGCTATTTTTTATATATGTCTAACATTCCTACAAATGCTTCAGCATTAACAAAAATACCACCGCCGCAGCAAACCTGCAGACTAGGCGAATCACCATTTGCCTGAACTGATTTTAAATTAAATCTATTTAAATAACATTAGTTTTAATGAGTACTTAGGTTTGCTGCTACAGGGAGGCTAATAAAGTGGGTTTTTAGTAAAGTATTAATAGCTTAGAATAAAATAAATATTTGCCCAGTTTTATCAAAATAAAGATCATTAAAGAGCAAACTACAACAGTTTACTTATTCTCCATAAGGAAATCATAGAAAATTTAAGTTTACAATATTTTTTATTTTCTCCGTAACCAATAATTGTACAAAAACACTTTAATATACAAAATAATTTGTTGTATTAAGCTGTACAAAAATGGTGCAGAAAGAAATTGAGAAATTTTATGTTTTTTAGGGTCAAAAATGGGAAAAACCAGTTTTTACCCCATAAAACCCCCTATAACGCCCCGTTTCCATAGTCATGCTGGTTTTGTGAACTCATTCAAGTTCATCCCGCCCTACACCTTCAAGCCAAATTCCATCAAAATTGTACAAAAATTACTCAAGGTGTCGTGTTACGAAGACAGTTAGTTGATGCAACCTGCATGACCAAAGACAATTTTTTTACTTAGGTTGGAAGAGAATTTATATCGATCGGTCAAATAATAGTGTTAGTTTAGCTGTTGTAAACTACTTGTCATAGTGCCCTTACTGGTTTTAACAAATTGTTGTCATAAAAAACATATGATAATTCTCATATAAATATTGTTATGATATGGGGCCCGTGTGGCTGAGCCTGTCGCACAATCACGGGGCCCAGTCCCGGTAAAATTTCCCGAAAAATCCCGGTCAAGGCTCACGGGCCCTCCTAGCCGCTATTGCCGACACTGCATTTTAATTTTGTAAAATGTTTGTAATGGAACAATCTATAGAGTGATTATCTTGAAAAATTTAACTTACTTGATGATTACCAGCATGGTTTTAGGGCTGGAAGGTCGGTAGTCACTGCAGCAGTATCATTTTTAGAGTCAGTTATTGAATCGGTTGATAGAGATGAAACAACAATTGGCATATTCATGGCTCTATCTAAAGCTTTTGATAGTGTAAAACATTCAATATTATTGAATAAATTGAAATTGCTTGGAATAACTAAAAATGCATTGCAATGGTTTAATTCCTATCTGAGTAATAGAACACAATATGTTGAAATTACTCAATTAAAAAAATAATAAAATTATTCAAACTGCCTCAGAAATTAAAACAATAAAATATGGAGTGCCTCAAGGGTCTATTCTAGGACCATTGCTATTTTTGTGCTATTTAAAGGACATAAGCAGTGTCCTAGTATGTAGACCTAGAAGTGAATTGTGCCTGTATGCTGACGATGCTAATTTAATGATTTCCTCTCCTACACTGGAACAAACAGAAATTTCTGCTTTTCTAGAACTTGGAAATTTGGGCAGTTATCTGGTGTGCCAAAACCTAAAATTAAATAACAAAAAAACTAATTTTATCACATTTAAAACACCACAAAATAAAAATTCCAATCACCCAATAATAATGTATGACTCACAACTTATTGAGCAAAAGACCAGCACAAACTTTTTGGGTCTAACAATAGATCAAAATTTGAATTGGAATGATCATACAAAAAAAAAATAGTTTCAAAAATCAACTCTGGAATTTTTGCCCTTTCAAAAATGTCTGTGTTCTGTGATGTCAAAACTTTGAAAAACATTTACTTTGCATATATCCATTCACATATTTCCTTTGATATCTGTCTATATGGAGCAACAACTCAAATCAATCTAGATAAAATATTAAAACATCAAAAAAGAGCAGTGAGAGTAATGCTCAGACTAAATTCTGATGTCTCGGCAAAAGAGCACTTTAAACAGCTAAACGTGGGCAATATATTTATGATTCAATTTTAATTTTTAAAAATATAACCTCATCCGATGTATCCAATCTACCGGTTCACCGATATGAAACGAGAAAAAAAATCAGATTTTGCAAAATAGGCACAGATTAAAGTTTTATGAAAAAAGCCATCATTTGCTGGTAAAAGTTTTTTTAAACATATCCCTGGAGGAATTAGAAATGAAAAAGATCCAAAAAAGTGTAAAACAAAACTAAAATAATTCTTAATAAACATGGCAATTTATTCTCAAGAAGAATTTTTCCACCTCCCTCAAGAATACTAGATATTAAGAAGGCATCTGTATGGGGAGATGTATTTTTTAATTTAAGATTTATTTTTAATCTGTATTTTATATTTTAATAATTGTAATCTTTGACACTATTCAAATTCTGTATTATGTATACTTCTCAATGAATAAAGAAATTTAAAATTAAATTTAAAAAATATTACCCTGCTATTGTCACTATCTAACATTGTTTTTTTTTTTTTTTTTTTTTTTTTTTTTTGTTAGATTGATAGCCCATTGACAAAATGCTTTTGCAATATCAAAGTGGTTTGACCAAAGTGACATAAGGTTGTATGAATGTTGCAGTTACAGCAAGCTTATCAACAACCATATCAAGATACATGGTGATGAGCGACCGTTCTTGTGCGACATTTGTGGTAAGGGCTTCAAAACCACCAAACAATTGCGGAACCACAAGGTGAGTGACCGAACATTGCTGATTCCTCTATTTAAACCCCTAGTTTAGGTGCAAAGTACATTAAAGAAAATCATATTGTATGCATGATACGTATAGTTAATGCGCCTTTCCTACTTAAGACGTGATTTAAAGTTGGGTTTTAAATCTCTTTAGTTTTTGTTTCCATTACATGAACAATGTTGCAATTTTACTTTGAGACTTTTTACTTTTACTAATACTGTGTATCATAATTAAATAACTGGGTAGGTAAGTGGTTAGAGTGCTCATCGATCGCCTTAAAATCATAAGAATGCTGGTCCGATTGTGAGAAAAGTATGACCCAGCCGTCCTTGATTATTATGCTAAATAAATGGTCCTGGCTTAAGTTACAGCTGGTCTTAGCCACACAAGGCATCGCTCCACTATACACTCATCTGTCACTCATATTCAGGTCCTTATCTCAATTGGTAATCCAAGATGTATTTGAAGGCCGTTCACCGAGCCAGGGTCCGACTGCTGGGAGAGGTGAATGGAGACAGTGGCGGTTGTTACACCTGCAAGGTCTGTGGACGCAGTTTTACTGACGCTCGTATCCTGCGTCACCACACAGAGAATGTGCACAACAAGCTGCGGCCGTACCTGTGTACCTTCTGCGCGCACACGGCTAGCTCCAAGAGCTCCCTGCGCATGCACATACGTCAGCACACTGGTCAGTCAGTCAAGAATCTCAACCTTTTATACACATGTACACTATTCATTAGATTCTCTAGGGTTAAACTGTAACATTCACACTGTAACTAAACTGTGAATTTTGCGGATAAAACTTTAAAATAAGGACGGTCCAATTCTGATAAAAGTCCTAAGATTTATATACGACTATGAAAACCAAGAATTGTCCAGTGAATTACTATCAAGTATGAATGGAAACACTGTTATATTCATTTGACTTTCGCTCACAAAGATTCTATTCATAATTGTTTTAATGGCAGGTATATATTCATTAAGTTTCTAATGGCAAAGATTCTATTTATTAAAATGATGTTCTCAAAGAATAAATTAATTAAGTTTCTAATTGCAAAGATTACATTCATTCATTTTTACTCATAAAGATTATATTTATTAAATGTCTAATTCCAAAGATTCTATTTATTAAGATAAGATGCTACCCTTGCAGAGTATAGAACAGAGGCTAGTGTAGTGGTAGTAAAGGGTGCGCCAAAAAAACCTGACGGTTTCTGTTTTTTAATAAGTCAGCTGTTATACTAGCTAGAGACCTCATTGTAGCAGTGAACGATTGCTTATGTTATGCCATTTTTAGGTTATGTTTGGTAAAACATCACGTCGTCAAAAGAAAGTTACTGTCTAGTGTGGTGCATTGTGGTGTGGCACTGTTTGGAGTCATCGAACCATATGTTTTTGAGGACGAAAGTGGGAACACCCCCCTGTCACTGTAAACTCGGAACGCTATTTGGAAATACTGAGGGGGTTTTTGGTACCACAACTGCGGATGTTATGAGGGATAGACATGACTAACACGTGGTTTCAACAGGACGGCGCAACTTGTCATACAGCCAATTATTCAATGTCAGTTTTGCGTGAACTCTTTCCCGGTAAAGTGATCTCTTGGTTTGGTGATGTGCTGTGGTCAGCTCGATCCCCAGACTTAATTTTGTGTGGCTGTTAGCTGTGGGGATACTTAAAAAGCAAAATGTTTGTTTCGAAATTTCAAACCATCCCTGAACTCAAGCAGTGTATCAGGGAAGAGATTGCTTCTATTCATCAGGCGAAGGTGACTGCAAATATGCAAAAAAAATGGGAAGCCTGTGTTTAGGAGAAGGTGATATAACCTGAATGATATAATTTTTCATAAATGAAAATGGCATAGTAGTGTGTTCAATATAACGTTATTTAATACACACATGAAATTGTAGTTTGTTCTTGAGTTATTTAGTATTAAAAACCGTCAGGTTATTTTGGCGCACCCTTTACCTACATGTTACTTGCCTGTTCATTTCTTATCTGTAAATCAGTAAATCAACCGAAATATCAAGAACTAAATCTGAAGATTTTAAATAAATAATGTTTTTCACTATCTCCTCAGCATTTTTTGTGAACTTCAGAAGAATTACATGAATTTATTTAGTTTTAATTTTATTTTGTAGCTTTATTGGTAAAATGTCCTTTAATGATATAAATCTTAAAAAGACAAGCAGGGGTATTTGTTGAGCTTGTTCCCAAACATTTGCTCGCCTATACATGTTTGCCTTTGACAATTAAGGTTGCGGGATCGATCCTTAGAGATTATATTTTCGACCTGCGTGCCATTAGTCATTATGCTGTCAACTAATTATGCCACCTAACAAAAGGTAAATTTCATATATATATATAGACCAGGGTTTGACTGTTCCCTTACAAAAACAAAACTCCAACGGTGTTGAAACACACAAAATAGAAAAAATTGTAAATTAAAAACATAATTTCTAATACAGTAGACTCCCTCTTATCCGGACTCCTCGGGACCGAAACCAGTCCGGATAACGGGTTTTCCGGTTAAACCGACGTCCCCAAAAACTCGTTAAAACAGACTGTTTACCGGTACTGTGATAATCAACTTAAATTTAGGAGAGCATTGTATTTAGACACGTGATCACTGGTCTCAAATTTTTCCCTCGAGAACAGTCGTTTCAGTACTGACCACTTCCTGCCGATCTAGTCCGGTTAAACCAATCAGGGTGTCTACCAACCGGGAAATCCGGGAAAACCGGGAATTGTACTTAAATTTTTACTGGCCATGAAATGTACGGAATTGTACTTAAATGCCAGACTACGTCCTTAAATTTTTAATGGGCCATAATTTTATTGATCGCTAGTTGGTTAGGAGCACATAAAAGGTTTATCAGATGTTTGTTTACATTTTCATAATTTATTACTAGAGTAATTATGCAATAAAAATCCCATTAACAATCTCAAACCCATTAATATTTTATCACGACAATCAAGTTTCAAGTTAAGTACTTCCAAGAACTGTTGACTCAGCAGCTAGCTCATAAAAGTTGTGTCACTTTTATTACTTTACAACTTCTTTTTTTATTACTAGGGTAATTATTATTAGATCCCAAACCTATTTTATCGTGAAAATAATAGCTTTATAATGGCTGTGAAATTTCACTTCTTACTTGTACTTTCTGAAGATTCAATTTGCCGCGGCCAGTGCCTAGTGCCATAAAACTGTTTATGGTTTCATATTAAACATGTAAATAATCTACAGTCTTATTTTGTAAGTTAACCCCTTTTTTATGGACAAAACCTTCAATTGACAAAACCACAAGCATTGTTGTTTGCATTAATGTTTTATCACTATGTAAGACTGCTTGGTTTCAAATTATGTCATTGCATTTTCTGTAGCTTTGTATTATATTGTTGGCTATTCAGGTTTCAATGTTTTTTGTTTCCCATATATTTATTTATTGAGTTGTATGCTTTAAGCAATCTAAATCTTATGAACTAGAATGATGATAGTGACTTTGCTGCTATTATAACCTCATTGTTTGTTACTCAGTTTATATAGGCCCTCCTAAATAATTAGGTCTAGGCCTGGGTAATTTGACTCTTGAAAGAGCTGTAAAATATATTAAGAAAATGTAATTGAGCCTAAGATAAACAACTAATGATTGCTATGTGTCGATATTACTTTGCAAATGAAAATACAATAATCCATACCTTGATTTTGTACTAAGAATTGAGTAACAATATGCATTAAAGATGTTTTTCAAACGTAGTCAAGAACCTAACGTTGTGCCAGGGCGAATCATGCCAAATTAATCGGCCTGGATCGGATAAGCTATGTTATCAAGTTTACATGACCGATGGAGATATTTATCGCTATCGCAGGAGACAATGTTTGCATTTCTCTGTTACACTATACAAGCTTTACCTAAAGTATAGGTAGGCCTATGTTTGTTTACTTTCAATCAATTTCTATTTTGTAATTTTTAACTCTTATATATTATTATTTACTTTTCTCTCTGGTACAACTACAGTGAATAACAAGATTAATACAGTTTGACAAATCAGGAAAATTATTCTGTAGGCATAATGACACCGACAAAGATTACAGCAAAGTGTCCTTAAATGTACGGGAATTGTCCATGAATTTTTTATCCAGCATGTAGTAGACACCCTGCAATGTGCTAATCAGAATTGTCCGGTTAAACCGATGTCCGGTTAAAAGGTGTATGTTTCCCTTCACATCCAACAAACAGGGTGATTCTCTTAAGTCTATACTCTTGTCACAGTGTTTCCTCTGAACATTATTCACCCTTGATGTTGGTAGGTGAGAAGCCGTTCAGCTGTAACGAGTGTGACTACGTAACAGCTGACCACAACTCACTACGGAGACATAAGATGCGACACTCTGGACTCAGACCTTACCAGTGTCCTTACTGCAGTTACAACTGCATACAGGCCACCACGTACAAGGTGCATCTCAAGAACAAACACCCAGGTACTCAACTGATATGGTATTCTTGTCAATTGGCCAGATGCTGGCAGTAAATACTTGCTAGTTGCAATAACACCAGGTTTACATGATGCTAGTAGGTGAGACAATTGTCTGAAGACAACTGACTTGCCTGAAATTATTAACTCTGTGTAAACACTTAGGCCAATTGCCCTCACAATTAATTTCCCAGAAATTCAGTTGTCTCTGGGAATAGACTGAGGACATCTGGCCTCCAACAATCCCACAATCATGAATTGACAATTGATTGGCCTGACAACTGTCTCACCTACTAGCATTGCGTAAACCCATCTTTACCTCATACTTACATTGTCCATAGGGCTGCTTTCCTAGGTAAGTATGCTGTAAGTGCAACTGGCAAGTACTTGTCAGTCAACAAGTTACCGTCCCTACTTCCCTCATTTATAAGTTGCTTTAGCTGTAAGTTTTTGGTATTAGTAGACATTCATATTAAAGCTGTAGCCAGATTGAGTTAAAATCACACTAGTTTCATTGCCACCAGCAGAGGCACTGTAGAGTACTGTCAATCATGGATTTTTGTCAACTACACTGACAGATTACAAATTGTAGTTCTAGATATGTTATAAACAGTTTTGTTGTTTGAGGCTAGAGCCGCAGATGAAAAAGGTTTTTATATTACAAAAGAGTCACACAATTTACTTGTGTATATTAATATGTACCTACACAAGGAGTTTTTATTTCACAAAAAGTAAATTTATTATTAAATTCGTTGTAAGTTAGAGGATATGTTTGTACTATAAAGCGTTAATTTAAAAAACCTCTCAAGTTGCTTATAAAATACACTTACAAATAGGGCAAATTTCAACTATGATTATTCTATTTTGGTTATGATTTGTTAATGAATTGCTTTTTTTTGTCAGGGCTGGATGAAGGGCTCATGTTTAGCTGTCAGCTGTGTCCATTTCGAACAGTCAAGAAGGACAACTACTTGGCGCACAAGGCAGAGCACCACCTTGGAGGAAACCCTTGCAACCGACGGAAAAAACATCTACCCCAGGAGATGTCTCAGGTAGAAGGATTTCAGTTTTTGTTCAAGCATATGCTTTATCATTTTATTTAAGAGAACAAAGGTCAGTTTTTCTGTATGTCTCTCAATGATGTAACAGATGACAGCCTGATTGCTAAAAAAATTATTTCCAATTAAGATTTTTTCCTAGAAACACATTATTGTTTTTCCTTGTTTCGATCCTGACACTTTTAAAGGCAAGTTCTTTCTTCTTGAGTTTTTTGTTCAGTTTTTAGTCTACACTGTTCAATGTGCCTCTTGAATCGAGATTAATTTGAGTATTTAACAATTCTTGGTATTAAAATTTAAATGACTTAATTAACACGGGTGAGTCAGTGGTAAATGCATAGATATTATCTTGCATGTGGCCGAACCAGTGATCAAATCACTTGCATTTTAGTTCTAGATGCTCTCACAGAGCTATTTTATCCAACAGTGGTGTTTGGTATTTTGGTCTAAAACTAAAAATCTTATGAAGACACACAACACTAAGTAAATCGGTTGTATATGCAAGACGATCTTACGATTGTATAACATACAACAAACTGTAATCTTGTGCTTGCTCAATCATTACATGAATAGGTTGATCGGTCACAATTTGTGGACAGTGTTATTTCCCTTAACTAATAGATTAAAAATATCAATAAAATAGAGATTAAGATGAAAGTGTGCATGAATCAAATAAATGCACAAAGATTTGAAGTGTTCACAAATTTTTCTTAATCCATGTTGTTTTTCTTCCAATTAAAAATAATTTATTTTACTACTGACATTCAGATATAAATTTTTGTATTATGATAAAGATCAGGTTGAAGTGTTCACAAATTTTTCTTAATCCATGTTGTTTTACTTCCAATTTAAAATAATTTCTCTAATACTATTGACATTCAGATATAAATTTTTGTATTATGATAAAGATCAGATAAATACACTAATGAATAGCCAAGACCATTCTTCATTAACCAGAGGAAATAGTAATTGGATTACAGATGATATTATAAATAAAAGAATAGATGTTTTAGATTTGAGTAATACTGCTAGGAATGTTAAAGATAAATCATTTCAAAATATTCTGATTAAAACTACATGGGATATTGTAAATAGGGAAGTTGGAGCAAATCATAAATCAAGCCATGTTGAAAGTTTAAGCTTACCATATATTAAAGCCAATAAATACACTGACGTTAAAGATGTATGTCATCTCTTCAATGATTACTATACAACGATGGTTGAAAATGACATATTGCCCAAACTAATATCTTCTACTGGTTCAAAAAATATTATTTCACCCTCCAAAAAATTGATATCAAAATTTAGTCTTTCACCTATTACTTATGAAGAGCTGGACAAAATTATAACTTCTTTTGATAATAAATTTTCTACTGGCTGGGATGAAATACCAATGCCAATAATTAAACAGGCTCGTCTATATATATTATTACCATTACTACATGTTATAAACTCCTCTTTCATCTCTGGAATTTTCCCCGAAAAACTAAAAAAATCTAAAATTAAACCTTGTTATAAGAATGGTAGCCCAGAAGAAATGTGTAATTACAGACCTATCTCATTGTTATGCTCATTTTCCAAAATTTTTGAGCGAGTTGTGCATATACAACTTTCAAAATACTTAGAGGAAAATAATTTATTAGATAAGGAACAATATGGTTTTAGAGAAGGAAGGTCTGTGATTGACGCAGGAGTCGATTTTTGCGAATCTATAATTAATTCAATTGATTCAAAGGAAAAAGTAGTTGGAATATTCTTGGACTTAACAAAAGCCTTTGATAGTGTCTCACATTATTTACTTCTTGAAAAACTTAAATATAACGGTGTAAAAGGGAGAGCTTGGCGTTGGTTTGAATCTTATCTTACAGGCAGGCAGCAGTATGTCACAATTAATTGATCACATAAATAGCCATAACCAATTAATTACTTACACTTCTTCAACAAAAATTGTTAAGTATGGTGTCCCTCAAGGATCAATTTTGGGGCCCCTATTATTCTTAATTTACTTGACTGACTTCCCCTCATTGATAGAATCTCCCAATCGTGTTTGTTTATTTGCTGATGACATCAATATAAAAATATCCGGAAATTCAAATTCTAATGTGGAAGTCTCTTCTTTTGTTGAGCTTACCAAATGTAACCAATATTTAAATGAAATCAATTTATTACCGAATCCAATAAAAACTAATTATATAAATTTTTCTTCAACGAGCAAAAATACACCTGATTTTAATATTTTTATGGATACAACTTTACTAAATGAAGTTAAAACAATAAAATTTCTTGGATTGCATATAGATGATAAATTCAACTGGGACAGTCATGTTGAAAATGTTTGTAATAAAGTCAACTCAGGCATACATGCATTAAGACAGATGTCAAAATTTAGTAGTTTAAAAACCTTAAAAATAGTATATCATTCCCTGATTGAATCACACATTTCTTTTGGGTTGTGTCTTTATGGTGGCACATCAAATTTTAACCTAAACAGCATTCTGGAACTTCAGAAAAAAGCAATTCGCATCATGCTAAAACTAAAATCAAAAGAATCTGCAAAAGAGCACTTTAAAGCAATAGGAATTATGACTGTTTTTAGCTTATACATTTATCAAATAGCCCTTTATATTAAATCAAACCATGAAAGATTGCCAAAATTGAACTCTTTTCATATGTATTCAACCAGAAAAGGTAATGAATTGGCATTCAACAGACACAATTTATCGGTTTACGAAAAAATCCCATCTTATAGTGGTGTTAAATATTTCAATAGCTTGCCTGACAATTTAAAAAATATAACTAATTTTAATTCATTTAAAAAATGTTTGAAATTATTTCTCACCAACAGACCCTTGTATAAATTAGAAGATTTTTTCCAACTTCCTGAAATTAGATTTTTTTGATAGTAACAATATTCTCTGCAAGTAGTCTTAAGTTTAATATTGTGTTTTTATAACTGACTCCATTCTGTACAAAATGTGCAATATGAATAAAGTTATTTTGATTGATTGATTGATTGATTGATTGATTCTAATTGCTAGAATTAGTTTAAGTCATTTGTTGAAACTTGAAACCTATACATATACACCTTCATAAGCTAAAATTAAAATTACAAATCTCATTTTTTGTATTTTCAGGAAAATACCTCGTTATTGGGTAAATCAACATCACATAGCTTTCCTGAACATGAAACAGTCATTCTACTGGAGGAGTCAAGTGATATTTCTTCTGTACAGGCAAGTTTTTATTTTTATTTAGGAATTTCCCCCAGTTCTATAAAAGTTAAAATTACAAGTACACCTTTATCAACTCTTTGTTGCTATTACAGACTAATTCTCTTTGCTTGTATCACATAACGCATAATGTTTTAATTTTACTATCTTTTCATATATTCATATTGCAACTTATTCTTTAATGTAAATTTGTCTATTTTGTATGGAATTTCACTTTTTATGTTAATAGACTACCCTATACTGTTTAATAACGAACTTTCATAATGTAACACAAAAATATACATTTACAATAATGAGAAGTTTTTCTATTTGGTACATACAATACCTGTTAACCCTTTGGCTGCTAAGAATTTTTTGACATGTTATCCGAAAACTGCTAAGGTTTTTTACATGTTTTATCCCTAAACTGCTAAGCCTAAATGGTGAATTTGTAGAGTTTTACTAAAAATATCATAACTTCCGCAAAATAAAAGTTATTAAATTGATCTTTATTTTATTTTGTAGGATATTTTATCCTAAACAAATAAAAAAATAAAACATTAAAAAATAAATATAAAAGTACGCCCAAACAAATTTGACAAAATTTTTTTTTTTTTTTTTCAACTTTGAGACTAAAAAACATAAATAAAAATCCAACTCTTCCTGTAAACTCTATTTTTAACTGAAAGTACATGTTGTATTGAGTAAATCCTGAAAGTTGCAAGCAAAAATAATGAATTTTACACAGTTATCAATAAAACAAAAAAAAAAACTTACCGTTTTGTAGATTGGCGTCAAGAAACTGCGTAACTGTGGGTCCGGCATATATATGCCAAATAATAATTGTAAAATATAAAAAATCAGTTTATGAACACAATAACAAGAACTACAGTTAATATTTACACTATTTACATTTTCTTGGGACACTTTACTGGCACACGTGATTGACAAAGCACTCTGCGTGTACCCCAGCTCCGCACCGTACACAGATTGTGCGTGATCTTCTTTTTTTCATTTCAGGATGGTTTTCACCTGAACAGGCTCTGCAGAGTTTTTCTTTCCTTCCAGGTAACTTCCTCAGACCAAAGCCAACACGTGGACCATCACCACCACCCTCGTTATCCTCAGGACCCTGATCCTGCTTACTGGCAAGCCATTCATTTGACCACTCTTCAATTACCGATCTCATGAAATTAGCCCTACTCATCCTGCCTTGAGTTGTGTTTAGCTTATACAGCAAATAAGCATTCAACACCATGCGGCCCATCACATTGAAAATAACTTTTTTTGAATGTTTCATGGTTCTCCGTTCGTCAAGGTACACATATAGCATTTGGTCGGTTGAGTCTATGCCTCCCATACCCATGTTATACTGGTGTGCAATTTTTGTCTTGTTTTTCACAATATCTCTTCCACTTCTTCTTATAGTGTATGTCACTTTTTTTGCTTCACTATCAGTACTGAGAATTATGAACTGAGATTTATTTGTAGCCTTCTCTCTATGGGCCATGATGAGAATGGGCCCTTTCCGGACATAAGTTTTTTGAGACAATAATAGGTTTTTTACATACCTCAGTCAAATAGTCCAAAAATGGTATTGCTCAACAGCTTACATGTTTCGTTGCGAAGACAACATTATCAAAGCTTGCAACTCGTCAAAAACACATTTAAAACACGAACACGAACACAGAAGACATTGATACGGTACGAATACACAATTGACATTTAGATAGCGCTATCATAATACTGATTTGGTCCGGCGCGGCGCGGGGCTGGTAGCAGACAGTCTGCCTCCCATACACCATACACCCAGACAGTCTGCTACCAGCCGCGCGCCGCGCCGGACCAAATCAGTATTATGATAGCACTATCTAAATGTCAATTGTGTATTCGTACCGTATCAATGTCTTCTGTGTTCGTGTTCGTGTTTTAAATGTGTTTTTGACGAGTTGCAAGCTTTGATAATGTTGTCTTCGCAACGAAACATGTAAGCTGTTGAGCAATACCATTTTTGGACTATTTGACTGAGGTATGAAAAAAACCTATTATTGTCTTAACAATATAGTCCAGGGGCCGAAAACATGAATTTTGATAAGTATTTTGGCCTACAGCGTACTTCCCCAACAGTTGTCTTGGGAGGCCCACCCTATCTTTCCTCAACGTACCAGTGACTAAGGTTTGGTGTTCATACAGTAATTTGGCAAGAGACAAGGAAGTAAAAAAATTATCCAGGTACATGTGGTGACCTTTGTTCAGACAATTTGCCATCCGCAATAAAGTCATCACTACTGTACTGCCCAAGCCTGCTTCAACGACTCTTTCATTGTCATCATTCCTTTGTGCACCCTTGTAGCAATAGAATTGCACACAGTACTTGGTTACAGAGTCGCACAGCACCCACAATTTGATGCCCCACTTGTGGTGCTTTTTCTTCGGCAAATACTGAGTTAGGGCAACTCTCTTTTTGGTGCCGACGAGAGACTCGTCGACGGAGAGCGACTTTGTCGGATAATAATACAGCTTGAACAACCGATTTGCATGATCGATTATCGGTTGGAAACGCCCACAAGGATCGTAACCGGGTTCCCCATGTGCCACCAATTTATCCACATCAACCAAATGAAAAAATTTTAAAATAACCTGAAATCGATCCCTCGGCATAATTTTTGCAAAATATGGCGTCGCTTGGCTGAAGTGGGTGTCCCAATAACTCTCTATGCTTGGCTTGCGGATTAGTCCCATATTTAGAATTATTGCTATAAAAGCCTTCAATTCTAGAACGGTCAAATTTACCCACTTTCTCACTCGACTAAATGGAGACAATCCTTGCTGCTGACGCTGATCTGCGATGAACTTTCTGGCATAACGGTTTGTCTCTGTGACAAAAGTCTCTAACAAACTAAGATTGAAAAAAAGTTTTAAATATTCAATAGGCCTTGAATTTTGGGGCGGGCAATGTTTAGGTCCATTCAATTCTGAATATTGAAACTGGTGGTTGTATCCCTCATCGTTCTCTTCTTCAACCTCGTCCCAGCTGCTACTATCCCCTGCATTTTGCTGAGGAGCAGCGTTAGGCCTACCTCTTCCAACACCTCTCCTGTTACCCATAGGCCTACGCCTTACCATGCGACCTCTTACACCCCTACCACCAAAAGGCCTAGTCTGTTGTATAGGCCTAGGTTCATCTACCTCTGAGTCAGAGGTTAGGCCTAAGTCAGGACGATCATCTCGGATTTCAGGAAAACGTCTAGCCCTCCTACCTGTTGATGTGCCCGGAATTGCAGGGTCATACGTCGGATCCTCGTCTGTATCGTCAACAAAAGCAGGAGAGGAATCAACAGACGATAGATCATCAATTGAAGAGTCACTTTCATTGTCCTCACTATTATCTAAATTAATGTTCAGCCCCGATTCTCGGGCAAAATTGAATATCGTGTTCTCACTAACTGGGGATTTCGGTCGATTTTGATCACCCATAATTCGTCAACTCACTAAAACACCAACTATAAAATAAACTTGTTCATAACAAACGTCGCATAACCATAGAAACACCAAAGCACTAAACTTCAGAACATCAATAACAGCTGTCTGCTCCAACTACGCAGATAACTCTGTTCCAGTGCAGTCTAGATCACAGCTGTTTTCGTTATTAGTGTACTATATAAAACTCGACAAATACAAGTGTTGTTATAATTTTTAACGAACAGTACACTTATTAAACCGTCATTTGCCGCAAACCGCATAAAAATAACATAATATTTAGCGCCGTAAAAAAAAAAATTCGTAACAACGATATATCGTTGCATAGCAGTTCTCGGAACAAAAGCCAACAACGATATATCGTTGCGTAGCAGTTCTCGGCATGAATGCCATTGACGATATATCATTGCATAGCAGCCAAAGGGTTAAAATGATTTGTATTGACTGTTGTTTTTAGTGCTTAGTTAATAATGAAATAAATTTTCAACTGAGTTTCATTATTGAATTGAGTTTTTTGTTACAGGGTGTAGTTTTATGAAACGATCCAGACGCTGGTGGAATCAAATCTACCAGTTAGTCAGTCTTCCATCTTTAGATTTAAATGTTGTACAAAATGTTGAAGTTAACGATGTTTAAATTATTATCAAATCTAGTCCATAGATTATCATAGTCCTGGTATTTTTCTATTGTGCATTCAATTATTTTTACTAGTCTTATTGGTTTGTGAGGACCTGTTAAAACTGTTTTAATTGAGTAGAACATAGGTTTACCCCCTCCAGCAGTTATTATAGCTTTATCTTAAATGTTGCACCTAGTTTAATGGTGAAGTTTTTAATGTGTAAATTTATGACGAATGATGTTTGCAACAGTTACAACAGTACAGTTGATGTTTATGGAGTCCTGTTATATTTTGAGTTGTTTATAATTGTTTCTTTTTAACTTGCGGAAGTTGTATGAATAATAGAAAACCAATAGTAGGTATAATTTGAAACATAAATGTTGTTGTATGAAAGTGTTTTAGTTTGATTATTACTGTTTACTTTTTTTAAATATGATGCACAATTCATTGTTAATTATTTTAAGCAAGATACCCTCATCTTAAGATTTTTGGATCTTTTCTTAGTCTATGTACAAGATATGATATAAAAGAAGTATGATTGTTTCCACTTGTTTTAACGGATAAATGCCAAAGTCAATTATGTGTATAATTAATGTTGTACCATTAAGTTTGAAGACAACTACCTATGTTCTAAAATTACAAATTATAATTGGCCAATGTTGTCTCAAAATGTGTCAAACATAACATAAGTTAATAAACATGGACTCAAAGTCTATAAAAATTACTTCCAGTGTTATTTTTATGGAGAAAATATTTTTTTTATTAGTGAGTTTTCTCTATAGGGGAGAAGTTTAAGCATAGGTGGGGCATGGATAAACCTAGACCCTGGACCGATATACCTTTTCAGTTTGATAACCGTAGGAGCAAAAAATAAAAAAATACTATTTGTTTACATTTTATTTATGAAAATAATATGTCTGTAAACACGATAACTCGATTGTAGTACAAGTTTGATGAGATTTGACATGAATGTAGGGGTCTAATGATGGAGAATAATTAAACTTTCGTGAGTTCCTGAACCAGCAAGTTTGGGTTATAAGAACAAGTTAAAGTGAAGGAGTTTTAAAATTTTTCAAAAATAGATTTTTGTAATTTTTACCCTTTAAACATCATACCTATTTTAATTACAGTCATGTGGTTGAGGTATTTTATCTATGATTATTGGGGCATGATTTAGTACTTAACTGTACTTGTACTGTTTTATTTATAAATTAAAATTTTAATTAATTTACATTCTAAAACTATTGTGGAAAAAGGAAATCTGCTGATTTAAATTTTTTTACTAGCAAGTCATGTGTGATAATTATTTCACTTGGTTCCTTCATTCAATAAAAGTGTATTTATTAAATAACAATCCTGTAACATAGATATATATTTTTCTATACATATTTGTGTCTGTATAATTGTTATTGTTTCAATTAGATTGTGATTTCACATTAATACAAAACTGTATTACTAAGCCTTGCCTTTTATTTAAGTTTATTTACTAGTAGAGAGTCAAAAATCCGAACGTAAAAAATCAGTAACATCAAAAATCCCAGCCGCTCCTGAGGATTTAAAAATATTGAATTAGCACATCAGATGTTTTACAATTTCGCGGCCCAAACAGTCGGCATCTGGCAGGGAAATGAGTGAACGTACCGAGCCAGTCTGTTTTTTGTTCGTTTCCAATGTATAAACTCTACATATTTTTTCAAGAAACAAATTACAGTAATGTAACGAAAATAACTAAGTACAAAAATCATTGTTTTTATTTCATTCACTATATCCCAGAACTGTATTTTTAATACTGTAGGCCTAATTAAGAGTCTATTAGGTATTTATAGGCTATGTTTGAAAATCCGAACAAATCGGTAATCTGAACTACCTACGGTCCCAATTGGTTCGGATTCTTTACTCTCTACTGTATAGTGATCCTGAGAAAAGTTAGTAGCTATTTGCAGGTTCAAAACAATGGGAGAAATACAACTGGAGGTAGCACTGAATGAGAGAATTGAGAAACGTTGGCAGGGCATTTGTACCTAGGGGTAGAGAACTAGGGGCAGGCTGATGGTAATATGGGATTATAATAAAACCATGAGTCAAAGTGTATTACTGATACTGAAACAACATTTTATTATTAAGAAGGATAAAAAAATTACATTAGTTCTATCAAGGCTACTAAATAAAAAAATACTTCATACCAGCCAAAAACTGAACATTTTTTTCTTTCTTGATCAACATAATTCTTCTGTATGCATTCACAGAATTTGAACAAGATTTACCTAAGCACATAAAATGTTTAAAATATTTTGAGTTAATAATTATGTCGGAATAATTTTAGATTTGATCCATTTTACACAAAAACTTGAGTTTCACTTCTTTGGGGAAGGATCACATGTATCTGCAAGCATAGAACTTTTTACCGCCAAGATTCTCTTCAAACTATTCACCTCTGCCAGCGTTTGCCTGTATCTCCGAGTAGCTTCTCCAATCTGCCGTTGGTATCGTATCAGTAAAGCTGCATTTCTCTTTTCCAACATTTTCATATTTGTAAGCAATTTGGGATCGGTCATTTGAATATTCTGTTTTTCTTTTTCTATTTCGTCTTTCAACTGAGCAATTTTTGCCTCCATTTCACTAACGTATCCCTTTTCAATTGGTACCGGTATTTGATCGATTTCCTCAGTTTCAATAACAACATCTTCAGAATGTTCTTTCTGCTCCTGAATTATTTTATATGCAGGCTCATTATTTTTCTGTTCAAATTCTCTTATCAAATTAATTTTGTACATTTTCCATTTTAACAACTCCTCTGCGTTCACAGCTTCTTCTGTTTGTGATCTTAATTGTGCAATTTCTTCTTCCAGTACTTTGTTTTTTGACTCTAAGCAGTGCTCTTCTTTTTCCAATCGTGATACCTCATGTTCCATTTTTTTCACTTCTACTCTTAAGGATTTAGATTCTTGCTGTACTTTAATAAACTTCTCGTGGATTTCTTTAAATGTTTCTTCAATTTTTGTTTCATTGCTTTCTTGGAGTTTGCAAACATTGATTGGAATGGGACATGGATCCATGATTCCTTACTGCAGTGTTCCTGAAATGGTATCAGAGTAAAAATCAAAACTCAGAAATGGAGCAGAAGAGTTGTTAGATGATGTATTTTAAAATGCATTCTTCTAACATAGTTTCAATGACTTTATGACAAGTTTTCGCAAAGCCATTAAAATGCAAAAAGTCAAATAAGTAAATTTACATTATTATTATTAAAGTAGCAATTGATTAAGACCTTCATTTTTAGTTAGGGGGAACTTAAGTCTATGTTTATTCAAACGAGTTGGTGAACCAACATGATCGAACTATGTCAGTGGGGTTTCATAGGGTCAAATTGGGTTTTCTCATTTTTTACCATCTAATCATAACATTTTGAATGTTTTTCTAAACCAGGTTGTAGAGCAAGAAAAACAAACAATTTAGTACCGGTAGGCCTACACTAAAAGTACTTAAAATGTTTAGACCTCTCCAGAGAACATAAAATAAACTATAAATTTAAAATCCCCATGTTATTTGCGTGGGTAATAAAAAACAGATTTAGTTTTTTTATTTAGGAATATATTTTTTATAAAATTTTGCAATTTATTTGTTTCATACTAAGCTATTAGAATTTTAACAAAAAGACATTTATTAGGTTCGCTGTAGCAGCGAACCTAAAGTACTTATAAAACTTAATACTATTTAATAGGGAATACATAATTCTGACAATTATGTAAATATATTGGTGAATATCCAATAAACTAAGTTAGGCCGTTGGACAGTGGCGGCTGGTCCATAAGGACTCTGGGACGGAGTCCTCCCATTTTCAACACAGAAGTAAAAAAATAATAACCTACTTAAAAATAATCTTAATCCTACTACATTCAATATACATAAACGTCAGTAGGGTCAAGTTCTTAGGACGGGAAGTAATGGACGCTAGATGTTTTTTGCAATAGGTAGTACGCCGGGACTCAGTAGCTATGACTTATTTACTCTTCGCATTTTCGCTATAAACCTGTTAGGAGCTACATGATGCAAAATGTACACCGGAAATCATTTTTTTATAGGCTGTAACTCCTAAATGAGTAGTTTTATAGAAAAAATGTCAAGAATAAAAAAGTTTTTAAATTACTTTACATGTTCTAACCAAAAACCTTAAAATATAGGGTGTTCCATAAGAAATTTCAAAGCTGGCTGCCATTTGGAAAATGGCGGCTGAATTTTGAAAAACTAAATTCATATTTTAACTGCCACAAAAAAATAAAGGAATGTCCTCCATTTAAAGTTTTCTCTAATTCTTACCGTTTCCGATATCCCAATGGTGGCTTCCCTGGGTTGATCACCCTTTATATCTATTGTATACTGTATTACACGTGTCCGTTAACACGATAACTTGATTAATTTTTGTCCGATTTTGATGAAATTTGGTTTGAGAGTGAAAATTTAAAAACGTACGTTTTCAGGAAAAGAACTTTTAAAATTTGCTGTTCCGTTTTTTGAAACTTTTTTTATTTTCTTTATTTTATTGACATTTGAAGTTTCATAAAATGTCAATGGTAATGTAATATCTTTAGTGGTTTTTAGCGAATTTCCCTATAGGGAAGTAGCTATTACCGTAGGTGGCACGGTAAGACCTAGACCCGGGACCGATTTACTTTTTCATTTTGATGTCCCCAGAGGCCAAAAACACCATTCGTTCAAATTTTTATATATGTATATATATATATATAGACTTATATATATATACGTCCGTGAACGCGATAACTTGAGTAATTTTTGTCCGATTTTGATGAAATTTTGTTTAAAGGTGTAAAGTGGGATAAACTTGAATGAGTTCGCGAACCAGCAAGATCGGACCATGGGAACGGGGCTTTACGGGGGGTTTTATGGGGTAAAAATTGGTTTTCCTCACTTTTGACCCTCAAAACACAAAATTTCCCGATTTCTCTTTAGACCTTTTTAAAGAGCTTAAAAAAACAAATATTTTAGTGTATAAAAGTATTTTTGTTCGATTATTAGTAACGGAGAAAATTAAAAAAATTGTAAATTTAAAATTCCCATATTATTCTTATGGAGAATATTGTCAAATGTTGTAGTTTGCTTGTTTATGGATATATTTTGATCAAACTTGGCAAATTTATTTATTTTGTACTAAGCTATCAATATTTTACTCAAAAACACACTTTATTAGTTTCCTTGTAGCAGCAAACCTAGGTACTCGTTAAACCTAATGTTATTAAAATATATTTAACTGAAAATCAATTCAGACAAATGGAAATTCGCTTAGACGGCAGGTTTGCTGCGGCGGGGGTATTTATTAATAGAGCATCTTTGTTGGAAAAACACAAAATTTTGTCACGACCATCACGGACATAAAACTAAATATTAAAAATAGTTAATATTATTGTATAACTATGTTTTGCTATAAATTAATTTACTTTTATGGCCATTATACAATAAACAGCTCACTAAGCTTTTGGTATATTTGGTCTTTCTAAAAAAAAATAAAAAAAAAATAAAAAATTGATAAAAAACCAATTAAATCTTTTAAGTTTGTATAACTCCGAAAAAACCTACCTGAGACCCAAAAAATCGTTATGTTTTTATAGAGGTATGTTTCTTTTATGTATAAAACATTGAAATATGATGATATTTTAATTTTTGAAATTTTTATGATAGAAATCATAAACGTGATCGTCATAGGGACAAGCGGTACGGTCGTGAATTGTCTGGAATAATCTAAATCTTTCCAAACAATCCTTCAATTATACTGTTAGTTATAATAAAAATATGTGTTTCAATTGAACTAAAGTGTTCAATTAACAATGTTATTTAAGTTATTGTCACTACCAAACACAGTATAATCCATAAGGCTGGATTGGTCGTGAAAAAACCCGCGATGGTCGTGAAACTTTGGTTGTGACGTTTCGTGTTATTTGGCTCTGTTCTGGTGGTAGCCCTGCACCTTATGTTCGTGGATACAAAGTGGACTTCTAGGTTTATCTAGCAATTGAAATATCTTATAAACAAAAATTAACACCGTGTCTACTTCATCAAATGACTGCGTACAGTCATGGACACACCAAAATTACAAAAAAACACAAACTTGCCTTTATTGATCTTGTAATTCCTCCTTTCAACTCGAAACGACCGGCACTACAATCCTGACGTACACCCCGAACTAGTCTCTAAAAAGAACTGACGCAATCGACGCCAGGCTTGCCACTGTCGTGTTCCAAAGTTGAAAATTTTTCCCAAATGGTCGTGACGCCAAATCGAGGGACAGACTTATTTTGTCATGGTAGTCAGTTTGCAATGACAATAAAATTATAATATGCTCCTTTTTTGTAAGTTTAATAAATATTGATGACATAAAAATATGGCTTTATATATTTTGGCATGAATAATTAGCCTAAAAACAGCGTGGAAGTTGGAAAATGTGCCCTAGGGAACCGTCATGGTTGTGACTTTAAAAAGACTTTAAAAATGCAAAAAAAATATCTAGAACCTATTTAAAACCAAATAAATGTGTGTAACATGTTGCTCCCGTCCCAAAAAATATTAAAACACATAGTAATAAACTACAAATCCAGTATCAACGAAGTAAAAGGCCAGGGACATGAAAAACGTACGTTTTTAAATTTTTACTCTTGAATGTGTGAGGAAGGATAAACTTGAATGAGTTTGCGAACGAGCATGATCGGACCATGGGAACGGGATTTTACGGGGTAAAAATTGGTTTTACTCATTTTTGACCCTCAAAACATAAAATTTCCCATTTTACTTCTCTCTAGACCATTTTAAAGAGCTTAAAAACAAACAATTTAGTATATCGAAGTGTTTTTGTACGGTTGGTTACGGAAAGTTAAAAATTTAAAGTTCCCATGTTATTCTTATGGAGAATATTGTGAAATGTTGTATGTAGCCTAAAGAATTAGTAAACTGTTGTAACTTAGTTTGTTTGTTTTTTATCAAACTAGGCAAATTCATTTACTTTATGTTTATACTAAGCTATTAATATTTTTACTAAAAAAAAACACTTCATTACCCTAACTGTAGCAGCAAACCTAGGTAGGCTAGGTTTGGTTGCCCTTATTAAACCTAATGTAATACGCCTATAACTATACAGCGTGGCTGGTCATCAGTATTAAAACTGGGACGGGTATGGTGTCGTCCTGTAATCCAGCTACTAGGAGGTTACGAATTGTGGATATTTATAGGCATGGACTGTGGATGCGATACTCCCTGGTGTGGATTAACATCTGAACGAGTGAGTACTACGACTATCTGCAGTACTATCCTGAAAATTATACCAATTTGTATATACAAAGGCAAAAATGTGGTTCGGATTCCACTATAAACTGTAGGTCCCTTGGTTGCCATTAGCTGTATGGACTAATAATTAACAGCTGTGTCTAAGGAATAAGTCGGCCTAAGTCACTAACAAGACTACAAGATCGTGCCACTCATCCTACACTCATCTCCATTCATACTTCGCTTAAAATACCTACTTTGTATGGTGCCATTTCATTGAAAAGTATTAAAGTATTAAAAAAATTGTTGGCTTAACTACAAAGTAAATGAAGTGTGATAATGCATATAAGAGGTTCCAAGTCTAAAAACTAGCTTTCCAAAGAATTATTTTAAGTTTTTCTAAAATAACTTATATTTAAACTTATTTTTAAACACAATACAGCAATTTCTTAATTATCTGTAAATGGATTTGAGTAAGTAGATAGACGATGTTATTATTTTTGTGTTCTACATTACATTTTGAATAAGAATAATATAGATGGAGGATCAATAGTAAACTTCATTTTGAATAGTTCCAAAAAATTAAAATGAAAGTCTATGATACAAATTTAAAAAAAAAAACTTTGCTCTTTTGCATTTTTCTACACCCAGTATACAAGAAGGTAGCAAAATATAATAAAACTGTGCCATTTTATAAGCTTTCCAACCATAACTTATGCTATTGAACTTTTAGATCTGCTTAATGTTCGCTTTAGTGTTTTGAAGAATCCAAAACATGGTGTTTTAATTTTTTAACATAATGTTAGAACACTTTGTGTAGTTCTTCTATATATATTCTTCTATGTATTCATAATATTTGTAAGTTTTGTTATACATACAACAACGAATAAATAGAAATTAACAACACAGATTAAGGCTATGCTTATAGCAGATAAAACGTGTTGGTTAACTTAGTCCATGAATGAACAAAACGTAGGCCTACCTAAACAATTCTGGCTGAATCTCAATGATAACCAAATCCAAAGGGAGAATGTTAAATAGGTTTTATTTATGATTCACGAGGAATCAGATTAAAATTCTTAAGATATGCACTAAATAATTAATAGCATCTATACATTTCATACCTAAACAATACTTGTTCTTAGTACAGCCTACGGGTACGGGATTCTACTAACAAACAGACAGTACTAACAAGCATTAAAGGAAAGGGAAGTGCAATATTTTGCCCGACAACAATGCTAACTTGATTAGTGTTGAACTATTTGGTTACTTACAAAAATAGTGCCTCCTGGATTAATAACTTCTTGATTAGCATCGTACGTGTTATTAATTACCTGAAAAATGCAGAAATATATTACGTCTACTAACACTTGCAATAATATATTTACACTTATACCACATATTGTCTGTGCTTATACTGTTGACTTACAAGACGGTGGTGGGTAAATACATGTAAAAGTTGGTTCGCCTATTGGGTCTGATGATGATTGGAGTGCCCAATCGAAATCGATCACCACTACCATAACTTTTACATGTATTTACCGTCTTGTAAGTCAACAGTATAAGTGTAAATATATTATTGCAAGTGTTATTAGACGTAATATATTTCTGTATTCTTCTGGATTAAACCACCTATATCTGTATTATGGCCTTATCACCATCATAGCCACACAGTCACAGATTATTGTAAACATACATGGACTAACCAACACAAAAAGGCAACGCGTTTTATTTTTATCTACGATTACGATACAAATCCATTAGGTATCCACGCTAAAATTCATACAAGTTGGTGTTTTACTCAGTGGCAGTTCTAGGACCTTGTCAAGAGGGTGGCAGGGGCGACTAACACTATCAGGGGGTGTGTTCCACAGACGACGTGCAGGGGTCCTCTCCCAGAAAATTTTCTTTTAAGCAGTTTGGTTGATTTTTAAAGACTTCTAGAACTATGTCCAACAACCTCCATTGCGTTTTATGAAGAATTTACCTATGTTAAAATTCATATTTTAATTTCTAGTTTCATGCGATTTAACGGTATACATTATATTATTTGGGAATGTATACTAAAGTTTATAGGTTTAAGGCCTATACAAAAAAGGATATTTACAATTCAGTTGAGACTGAGCCACGGCCACCTTTAAATTACAGGCCGTGGCCTGGTAGAATTGGCAACGTCGCAAGTGGTGTTGTCTATTGACAGATGTCCCATAAGATAACATGGCAGACAGGAGACGTCAGCTCATTAATTCGCACTTTATTAATTTAAATTTATGAACATAAATTTATTAAGGTACTGTATATCAAAACATACATAATTGAAAACCGAAACAATATGAAATATTTGTATATTTTAAGCGGAGTCAATATTGTCATAGTCCAGTAACCAAAACCAATCTTTCGTAAACACAAATACAAAAATACCACTAGCTGCTTCCAAACAAAACAGCTGTTACAACACCACTTGCGACGTTGCAACTTCGAAGGCCGCGGCCTGGAGTTAAAGGCGGCCGTGGGCTGAGCACATCAAAATAGAGAAACAGTTAACATTGGTATAAGTCAATTTATTAAAGTCGCAATCTTCATATTGTTGTTAAGAGATTTAAAACACGCACATTCCCCAATTTCAGATTTACATAGAAAAGTCTACTTGCAGTATCCAAAGTCAATGGCAAATCCCACCGCAACTCTTGAAACTTTACCGACCCATTTAAAATGGATGCTTATTTATTATATGCCATGCTATGTATAGTATAACCATTAGAGAAAAGTGTGTTGGCTTGTCAAAGTTCCAAAAGCGAATGCCGATTAAATGATGGAAAATAAATTGAACTTTATGATGGATCCTGATCATGTGTTGTGTAGAAGGATGGGATTGAATTGAGTTTTTTTTATATTATTAAATTGCTTTGGTTTTCTAGTATTGTCAATATTTTGGAAACATTGAAGGGTCCATATTTTTGTTTATTTTGTGTTAATTTTGTTTGTTCAAAAGAATCTTGTAATTTCTATTATGCACGGTATGTTTCATTTTGACTTTTGCTATTTTGTTGAGAGGCTAGTTTATTTTAATCATTTAAGAAAACTGGATCAAAGATAACAATCTCAAATGGGATTATGAGGAATTTTCAAAATGGCTGTTTTCTTTATTAGTTTGCGAAGTAACAAACTTATTTTGGACATTTTATGTCAAATTCACTAAACCGGCTTTATTAACAATGTCTTGCTTACGTTTTCGAGTAATATTAAGTATTGTCATCCTTCTTTTATGGATTGCTTAAAAATAGAATAAACCAATCTGGATAAACTGAAAACTAGTTCTCCAGTTTTGTTCTGAGTGAAATGGGAATTTACAAAGTTCTATGACCTTTCCAAGTCACAGACAGAACGTGTTTTATTAGTCTGCAAGTTTTTGGTTTACAGACTCCCTTTAACATACAGTTTTTGCATTGTACCTAGTAAAAGTGTTACTGTATAATTGACAAATTAGTTGCTTGTAAATGTTATTGGCTAAATTATGATGTTTGTCATTTTATTATTTGATAACCCCAATCTTAAATTCAATTTGGTTAAAAATGATGGTATTAGGCTTTGTTGAGCAGTGTAAGTACTTACTCTTTTCTTAATGGATTTATTTACACTTTCCCTGGTAATTTGACTGCTGAGTGAAAATGCTGTTAACTTACTTAGGCTATGTCAGAAACAGCACCAAGTGCTTGGAACTTGAAGTCAAAATAATTTAAGGCCTAGGCTATACTATCTTATGATATTTAAGTTAAGTCAGCGACAGTTGAGTGGTAATAATTACTGGACGAGTCGCAAGTTGTGATAGTGAGACTTAAGTTATTCTTGGAGGATAAGGACCTACTTAAGTTATTTGAGAGAGCTGTTTACGATACTGTACCACTCAAAGAGAAAACTGCAGTAAGTTAGGTACTTATTGTAGTTTTGGTTAATTTATGTAAACAATAGAATTGGATGCATGTGACAATCAAAAAAGACACGCAAGTTTCCTATTTCAATTTTTTGGCACTGAGCTATTAAAACATTATTTTTTAACTTAAGTTACTCAGCAAATAAAATACTTGATAGGTCTCCTTGTAGTTCTCCCATCAGTAGGCTAACTAAGGTAGCTAACTAAAGAAAACTGCGCTGTTGTTGTTGCCACCAAAATTCAATCATCTCCCTGATAACAAAATTGCTAAGATATTAGGTAGGCCTATAGGCTAACCAGCAACCTGCCTGAACTGTTTACAATGAATTAAGTTAATTAATGGTGTACCGGTTCTTAGCAAAAGTTATAAGTTACTTATTGTTTCACTTTTTCTGTCAAATTATGATTATACTGGTAGATCATGGTTTTTATTACTTTACATACCGTAGTTTTTGGAAAAAGTACTGTCTGAGAGAAGGATTTTTAGTTTTGATATCACATCTTTGAGTACCGGTATGCGTAAGTTAGTTTAAGTTATAGCCTACATAAAATAGTTATTAAAATTGTAATGAGAGCAAGAATTAATGAAAAAGAACTTTTATCACCTTTAGAAAGGTTTTTAATAACTTGAACAATACTACATTGAATTATAATGGACTTGTTTACAAACACAACAAAACAATAATAAAGAATTGAAGACACATGTTTTTTACTACACTTTGTTTTGTAGGCCTAACTTAAATACTGTAAGTTACTCTATAAATTACTTGCTGACCTTTTGGATTGAGTAGGCTACAGTTCCGCAGAGAACCTGCCATATTTTATTGGATATCGATATATAGTTGATATTGATTCGGTTTGATATTTACATAACTTAATCAGGGGTGCCCACAAGGGGGGGCTGTGACGCAGACTGCGGCATTGAAATTTTTAGGGTGGGGGGTTGCAAAAATTAAAACGGGGTGGGGGTTGGCTAAAGTTAATTTCAACAGTGTTCAACGTGACGACAATCAAAAATATTTTACAAGTCACCAGATAGAAAGTGGATTAATTAATGTCAATTATATCATTGAATTCAATTAGTTAAAATAGGATTTTAGGATAGTTTAGGATTCGTGTAGGAAGTTATTATTCAAGATTAGACAGACGTGAGATCTAAGAGGGAGGGCACGGAATAGCTCAACTGCTGTGATAGATAACGTGTGGTACAGACACGTCCAGCTACACCGCTACTCAGCACAGAACGCTTTGTTGACATAAAGCTAATTAAAATACAATCAAGTAGCATAGGCTACAATACTTTGCACTATTGTGTAGATACTCGACTACCTGAGCTAGTAGGGGGGGGGGGGTAGGGGGGGGGGTAATGAAAAATACGGTTAATCCCATATAGTATAAAAAACAGATGACAAACCAAACAAAATTAAAAACTCTGTAAACAGCCATTAAGGTTATGATTTGCATTTTTATAAACAAAATTCAATATTGCACAATCATTATTATTGTGCAATTATGACATATCAAATTATTTATCTTGGTTCAGTTGTACAAACGGCAACGTTTAAAATTATAGCTAACTCAAACTCGACTAATAACCAGCCAAACACTGCATTGCTATAAATAACGTAAATATTAAACCTTAGAAAGTGTTATAAGCTACTGCTCATGATAGACGGATAGGCTACCGGTAGGTGCTGTATCACAACATAGGAATTGATAGATAAGTAATAAAAAAGTGTAAAATTATATTTAGAGATAGTAAAAATACTCTTAAAAAAAAGAATGTAACGAGAACAATCTTGTTATTCTTTTTCTTTGTTCATCTGTCATTTATTAGGTTTCTCTTCAATTCATACACAAATTCGACAAGTCACCATTATTTAAGCCTACTCGTTGCCCAATCAGAGCCTTGATTCCCCAGCTGGTGTATTTGAAATCTGTTGTAACATAGCGCACAGCAGACAGACTGAGCAGACGATTAACCTGCTGGACAGTTGGCGCAAGCGTTGTTTCCATTTCATTTTCATCAAGGGATCTGTGATGTTTCAAAAGGGAGGGATAGGGGGTCGTTAAATCAAGAGAAAGACGCTGACAATTCGTTAAGCAGAGGTTACGAACGCTACATTCTGGCAATAATAAATTTCTTAAATTGAGGTGACTTATAAAACTCTAATTTTATTTATATAGAAAGATAAGTTTTCCAGTCCTGTACAACACTGATTCACGGTCTTTCCCCGGTAATCAAAATTCAATTAGAACTTGATACACACAGAATCTCCGGTTCCCGACCTGGATGATGGCTAGTTATTTAATTTAATTTACAGTTACATATTACCCGTGATAAATCAAACCGTTATGTTGCCTTATAACACCCATCAACAGTTGCTAAATGTCTGATGAGAGACGCAAGTCTCAAAGTAACCTTTTCCAAACAACTTCTACCTAGCTGTCCATTGTTTTAGTTTATTGGTTCTACATAACTTGCTTTTTAGAACTGCATATGAAAGATTAGTACCCGTGTCGTGTCTTATAGTGTTGTTAGTTGTTACAAGACTTTTGTTTGCTCAGTTATCGATCAGATGTAGGCAACTGTCAACCGCACCAAGGCTTTTTTTTTAAATTGGTAAATAAATTACTTTTTTGTAAACCAATAAAGCTATAGTCATTCAAATAAAAAATTTAACTATTCCGAGGTGACCAAGTGCACATTAGTTAATGCTAATATCCATTTCCTTTTTACAATTAGGCCTACTAACTTTTGTTTGTTTTTGGTTCCAGGTTAAGTTAGATGAGAACAAACTGACATTTACCTACAATTTCTGTGATGAAAATGCCTGTTTAGTGATTTAACTCTGGCCTCTTCTATGTGCCTTACTACATAAATCTAAAGTATCAGCAACCTGTTTTAATCTAAGTTTGGTTAAACATTGAAGAAAAAGTAGGCGACTAACTAGATTGCACCACTGCTCTACGATGATGGTGCCCTCTCAATTTTTGAGCGTTGTCCTTGAGGAAGATGATGGAAATGCGTCTGATGAGGATAGAAATGCCTACAATCATCGTCCCGTTTGGTAAGTAAAATCATATAACCTAAAATACTTGATAGGTAGGTAATAATATGTTATGTTGCCTTTTGAATTTATTTAGGTTTATTATTTTCTATTTCCCTTCTAGTTAAGGCCCGACTTTGATTCCTAGGAAAAGTACGGTCTCCTCCATTTCATTTTCTTGATTCCATAGACCTAAACGGACTTCAAATCCCAAATGATAAAATACCGCCAACAAGTTAAGGGCTTTCTGCCTGAATTAAAAAAAACGAAAGAATAAGTTGAGGATTGTATTTAAGTAATTTGGATTGAGGCTGCTTATTGACTGTTGAGCTATGCTACAAGTATAGCCTACTAATTACAAAAATTAGTCTTCAATATAGCCTACTAGTAATGATTACTAAATTCAGATTGCTTATTCTTGTTACCCACTAGTTATTACCACAGAGTAGTAAGCTAACAGAGGAAACACGCTTATGAGACAACCGTGCGCTTTCAGCTCTAGTATGTTGTGCCGAAATTATATTTTTGATGATCAAGGAAGGGCCCAAACTAGTGGTGGAATAAGTTGTTGTCAAAGTGCAACAGGTTGCAACTGCAACAGTTTCAACTCGACAACAGTTTAATTAAACAGTTGCAGACAACAGGTTAGCTTTAGTTTACAGATTGTCCGCTAGAAGCGATACGTATACTATGTTGGGCGCAGCAGACCGTTCTAACCTGTTTCAAGAGTTGCAGACAACAGTTTAGCCAGTTTAGCTGCAGCTGCGTTGTCGCTTCGTAGCCTATCTGCAACCGAGAACTGTTTCGCGTGGTACAGACGATTCTTACATGTTTCAAAGAGTTGCAGACAAAAGGTTAGCTGCGGTAGCGCTTCGTAGTTGCAGTTGCAATTATTGAGAAATGTTTTGGGCTCACCTTTGACCTGTTTCACAATTTCACTCACTTCTCGTTGCTGGAAATGAGGACGTTAGATTAAAGTGTTACAAAACGGGATAGTAAAATTGTGGAATAACAAAACTTATTTTAATACTGCAATAATCTAAGAATAAAGAACAAAATAATAGTAATTATTAAAAAAAAAAGGCCGAGGCTGTCGTTCGTTAGTAGAGTAGAGAGAGAGCGTGAACAACTATCACATGTGATCATTGTCTGCATTTCGCGCGCAGCTATTTACAACTGCAACAGCCAGTCGTACCTGCAGCACACCCCAGAACTGTTTCATTTAATTTGCAGTTAAATGTTGCCAGTAGTTATAGTAGTTGTCAACAACGAAAGCGTTTACTGTGCAGTGCACCGGCGGCGGCGCGGCGCCGTTCTGCAGCTGTTTAAAACAGGGTGTTTTGCGAAACAGTTTCATTTCGAAACAGTTTCAGCTCCGAAACAGTTTCAATAAAACAGTTGCAGTTCTTTTGTTCCACCACTAGCCCAAACTGCAAGAACTGCGCAGAAATTCCTATGGCACAGGGTCTTCCTCCACCGAGAGCGATGTAGGCTAGTACATGAGGGCGAGGGGAGCGGTGTTGGACTATGCCATAGATACTAGCACTAGGGATTTAAACACCACCGTGGATAAAACATACTCCCTTAGTAGATTTCTCATCATTTTGGAACACCTGAAGCCGATTTTATTGTTAGTTCCCTACGGTGCACTGTAGAGGCCTTTTTTTGTTTATAATCTGTTTCCTGCTATTTTCTAGTAATCTTGATATTTTTAGTAATTTAAAACCTCGTTTAACTAAATATAATACAATCAATCTTAAACAAAAACTTGTCCCCTAGTTATATAACGAAACAGTAAAGCTAAAATCATAAATTAACCATAAAATAATAGAAACAAAATGTAATCAACACTAGCGCCCAGTGACAGTACATGATCTAGACACGAAAAAACTAGCTTCAAAATTTACAACGGTATGATAAGTTTACGTGTGTTAGGTTAGTCTATGACACCACTTAGTGTACCATAGAGTGTATCTTAGACTGTTCTTTACTTCTCTGTGTTATTACTAACTAAATTAGTGATAGGTATTAGGTGGTGGGTATTTTTTTCTTTAGGTTGTCTGTCAGACACAACCCTTGTATTGTAATGTAAAGTGGTTTTTAACTTCAAGTAGGCTATCATTAAAGATGCTTGCACACTTGAAAAATTGAGTAATGAGATTTCAAGATCACATGATTGATCTTTATGGTATTATGCACGGTTGATACTCTGCAATGAGAGGTTACACAATTAAAATAAACATTTATTTAACTTCTGTAGAAATCTTTTAAAAGGTTAGTTAGTGTTGTTTTTGAGTTTTAGTTCTGTATTATTTATTCAAGCATTGGCCCTTGTGGTAGAAAAATGCTTTAAAACACAATCTCTTGTGACATGTTCAAGTATTCTTTCAAATTAAATGTTTAAAGTTGCAAACAACGTTGAAAAGTTGGCAAATCAGTTTTTGAAATAGTTTTTTTGTAGTAAATTATTTTCGAATTCAATACAACGATTTAACATTGGTAGCCTATATTTAATGTGTCAAGTTCATTCAGAAACAGAAGAAACAAATACAGCTAGGCAAAAATTATTTTTAATTAGGCCTAACTTTAATGCCTTAAATTTACTGCTTTAATTTACTTTAGTAAATTTTAGAGAATAAGAAACAAAATATTTCCTAGCTATTCAAAACCAATACAATTTTTTCAAATGGTTTGTAAGCATATTAACTTAATGTTTGTTTTACAAACTGAGAAAACCAGGAATCCTAGCATTTCCTCATTCAATCATTTTTATTTACTAGTGTGGGTTTTGCATTTTGGCTAGGCTATATGAAACTAAAATTTGCATCAGGAAAAGAGCATGCAAATTGTGTTCATGGGATCAGTTGACATAAAAAAAATTCTTAGCAGCCTATGGCTAAGTGTTTCATGAACAGAATGGTGTTCCTTCACCGGTTTCCCCCTGGCCACAATGTTTCAAGTAAAAAAAATATTGTCATGTTCAGGAAATATAGTTTGCTGGGTTTCATCAGAGTTATGTGGTTGATTTTACATAATTTTAGTCATAGAATATGGTTTTAACAGTTCTTGAACCCCTTTAATGTAGGCTACAAATATCCCTTTCAGACCCGGGAACCTTAGTCATCTCGACCGCTTTAAGTCCTGAGCAAATTTTGAATAAATGTTGGTTTTTAACCTAGATTTGAAATACCGGTACTAAAATTATTGATTAGGTTTGTTTTAAAGACAAAACCTTCATAATACCATATTAACCATTTCAGTTTCAGCAATAATTAGCATTACCGTATATACGTTTAAAAACCTAAATAAAACAGTCATTAACCTTAACAGTTGCCTCTTTCTCCTATCTTACCGTGACATTGCAACAAAAAAATCAGTGTTACCATAAGACATGAAGGCAGACTGCAAAACAAAAATTCCCAGCTGATCTCCATAACCTACACAATCGATGCGTTCAGGTCTGAGCAACAGAAAGATCCAGAAACTTCAAAAAAACAAATAAACATCTAACCTACACAATCGTGTTGGTTAGGTTGTCAGGACTTAAAAATGTACCTACACAAATGATTGTCCTGGGTCTGAAAGGGATATGGTAATGTTCAAATTGGTTTCTTTTTTAGCAATAATTTAGCACTGGATGATTTGAATTTTGAACCTAAACTGAGATCATACTTAACAATTTTGAATTTTCATGAAGTACCGTATCTATTTATAGGCCTTAAGCTGTTAGAATAATTTTTGTTTTTTTTCAGGCAAAACCAATATTCTGTTCATAGCAATAACACTATCACTGAGAGCGAGATGTGGAATTTAACGAAGAACCTTCCTAAAGCATTGCTTGCGGAATGCACTGTAGAAATTTCAAGAACACCTGCCACTCAGTAAGTAAAAGGGTTTTCATTCATAGATACAGGGCGTTCTCATGAAGTAGTTATAAAAGCGTAAGCAAACTTAAGGTAAAGGAGCGTTTAAGATGGTCTGATGTTCCTAGGACTGCTGCTAGTATCAGCAAACTGGCATTTGAAAAAGGCTTATGGGCTTCTCTGTGGTCCACAGGCAATGTGGAATTGGATGTGGATATGAATTCCAAATCCTCCTCTAACGTGGACATTAGACACACATTTGAAAATACTGTGAGTCACAGTGATAAGGCCTATTTATTATTGAAATTATAATCAACATTTCAATAAAGTTGAGACAATATAACAGGTAATTGTGTAATAGGTAATTATTTTACAATTATTAATATACAATGTTGTTTACAGAAGTGAAAAAATTAGAAAACCGTGCTTCGATGCAAAAGTGACACCGGTAAGTTATTCCCATTTTTCTATCGATATGCCTAAATTTGAAACTGTGAACAGAAAAGAATATATATGATGATAGTAGTTTTTACCTCACAATAGAACAGAGAATATTTCACACTGATAATTTACCTGCGGTAATTTATTTTGTTAACAAGTTCACCTTAACTACACTATCGCCATATCCGTCATGTTTCAAGAAAAAATTTCTAAAAGTTACAATAATTTCTAAAAAAAGTCCAATGGAATATTCAATGCTAATTATTGTTTTACTGTTTCCTTTTTGTGCGATCCTACAATTTTCCTAAGGGAGGGGGGACGCAGGAGAGGGGTTGTAGCTCTCAATATATTTCAGAACTTGATTTCTTAAAGTCAACCACTGCCTAACTGTACCCTACAGTACCTAGTGTTATTAGTAAAATATTTTTATACCTTATTATTTGGTCATATACTTCTTACGGTATTCTTGGATATAAAATTGGTGAAGTAATGAGCAATCATACTCTTGCCTTACATGAGCCAAAATTGCTTTTTTTTATTCAAAAAGAGGTTGGCGGCCTCTTTTAACCTTGCATTATCCCGTCCACATAGACTATAGATTTGTGCGTGGAACGTATCCAGCAAAACAAGGGGTGAGCCGGTACAGTACAAAGGTGAACTGTACTGATAAAATGCTTTCGACAGTGACCAGGATCCGAACCCACGACATCGCTGGCTTGGGACCGAAGTCCGTGACGCTTCCGACTGAGCCACCGACTCACCAATTTTTTGAATGCAAAACAGAAAGGCCAACAACACCCAGATCATGTTGAGCTTAAAAAAAGAACAGTTTAAATATACCAGATAGTTAATTTAACTTTTCTAGAATTCTAAATAGGCTAGTTTAGATTTCTAAGCTTCCACCAGTAGATACTGGACAGTTGATTGTCGATGGTTTATAGAAATCTATCACTTCTTTCTCTAATAGAATGTTATGGTTGCAGGTGTTCACCAGACCTGAGCCTCCTCCCCTTGTTCCTGTCAGGATCAATCCTGCAATACAGCAGTTTTTACCTCCTCCTCCACAGGTTGGTCAACTTGATTTGTGGACTTAAGGAAATGTTCTTGACTGTAATAAATTTGCATATTGTCACCACTTTCTTTAGGAGTCATCATAGAAGGGGTTTCTTAAAAATTTTAATCAGCCCCTCTTATTTTTTTCTAAAAGTTGCAACATGTAGAGTATGGAATTTAAAGTGCAAAAAGAGTGGAAAGTTGTGTAAAACATAATAGTCCAAGTTAGTCCTCCACAATAAACTGTAATAATATTAGTTTGCAGGCATAAAAATTCATTTCCATATTTGGTGACACTACAATAAAGGTTTTTAATTTCAATAGCTTCAGTGTTAGGCCTACTGTTTGTTTCTTTTATACAATAGAGGCTTCATCATCATCATTAGAGTTGACCAGTCTGATTTGCATTTGCAACTTGGGCTTTTTACACTCTCCTACTGCTAGAAACTTAATCCAATATCTACAAGCCTAATAAACTAACAGATCCTCTTGATTCTTCCCTAAAGAATTGTCTGACCTTTAGTCAACTTACCAGAGTAGTCAACCCTTTCTGTCACTTGCTGTTCACAGTCTAAGAGCAGAAGATTTGCTGTCTCATCCTGCAGATCACATTGTTTGCGTAGAGGTCAATTGGGTTTTACATTATAACTGAAACTTAAAGTACGGGGAATACCGTACTTATACCGTACTTACCGTAGTATATACCGTACTTAAAGTAAGGGGAATTTATTAGCATAACCATTTAATTCATTTAATTGTATAGTGGAAACAGATACAGTTAAATTGTTGAATGAATAACAGGCCTACTGGCCCTACTGGAATTTAAAAATATTTTGCATTTCAGTTGCTGCACAGATCCGAATGGCTGGAAGAGAGGATGGATATACAAGATCTTCTGTCAGGCGTAGAAGCTGTCTACTCCGACCATGAATCAGACGGGGAAACTGAAGAGGCAGCCTCTGTCAGTATATTCCCCATTTCGGTAGCCAAGGTAGAAAAAACAAAGCCAGAAAGAGTAAAAAAGCAAGATATAAATAAGTTTAGTTATCCCTGCGAACATTGTCCAAATGTTTACTCCAACAGGGGCGCTCTCTGGCAACACTCTGTCGCAACTCATTCAGTAGAGAAGACGTGCGAGTGTAAAATCTGCGGAAGAAAGTTCTACCGCAACTGCAGTCTCGCGTTGCATCTGAAGAGCCATTCAGAGGAGGAGTATTGCCAGTGTAAGGAGTGCGGAAAGTCTTTCAACCGACTTGCTAATCTAGAGAGACACATGAGAGTGCACGCAGAAGCCAAGACATATCCTTGTCCTCACTGTGACAAGATATTTAGAGACGAGACAAACCTACTTCGGCACACAGTGACACACAGCATGCCACGGCAGTTCCAGTGCGACATTTGCAACAAGGGATTCAAGAGTCAAGAGAGTCTAGACGTGCATCAACAGTCGAGTCATGCAAACCACGACCCTACTCTAGCACTGGAGAAGCACCTGTGTAAGGTGTGTGGTGCCGGCTTCCCAGACAAGAACTCATACAAGGCACACATGGCGACCCACACGCAGACAGGAGAGAGACTCAGCTGCACACTGTGTGGAATAGACTTTACGCAGAAGTCTTCTCTGTTGAGGCATGTGAAGAGAATGCACCAAGGCGAGGGCTGCGATCCGTCTCTGTTGGATGAGAAAGCCTCGAGTGTTGACTCTTCGGAGAGCGGATCTGTACAAGAGGACGAGGACATGGAAAACGAGTCGAAAACTGTGGAAATCAGAAAAGTACTCGGATCTCCGGTCAAGTCTGCTCAACCGATCAATATCCATGAAACTCCTCGTACAGCTAAAGTACAGAGTCTTGAGATAAGCTTGGTGTCTGTGACGAATAACAATATACCCAACAGTAAACCGAACGGAGTGTGCAACGGACGAGAAGAGCTCACTATTACGATGGAAGAAGTTGAGAACGGCGTGCAAAATGATGAAACTGATTCTCAAGTAGAAAATGAGGAACAAAACGAAGCATCTGATGTCGATACTGACTGCAACGAAGAGTCATCTCAAAATGTTGACACAAAATCTTCGAAAATGGAAACGAATGACCCTCTCTCATCAGTCGACATAAACACAATGCATACATCGGCATTGAAGCTGGAATCTTAACTAAGGGTGGGAGATAGAATAGCTAAGCTTTTGAGGTTTTTCCTTCGTAGTAAAAGTTTAACATTTTTATACTAAGAAAAACACACTCATGGCGAGAGCCATGTAAATTAATCCACTTCATTGCACAAGTCACTACTTGAAAGTCCTTGTTGGTAAACATGTGGAAGTAAAAAGAGGCCTTACAGTAAGTTTAGTCTTAAGTAAGTATTTATAATTTACAGACTTATCATGACAAACTAGAAGTATATGGAGCAGATTTTATTTTTATCATATACTATTGTGGTTTATACATATTTATTTATTTAAAACAATTTTAGCTCTAAGTTTTTTTACAGTAGTACACTACTACTGATCTCCCTTCCCAAAAATGTTTAGCCTAATATTTATTTTTTAATGATAATGAAGTTAAACTTGCCTTGAGAAACAAATTGAATGTGTGATTTTTGTGCCTACTATGGATTCATTATTCACAAGTATCATAATTTTGGATGTTATATCATTATGGTTTGATAAAAGAGCTGCAGTATTGTCTAAAAATCCATTTTTATCTTCATTTTGATAGAGGCCTAGCCAGTGGCGGGTCCAGAGGGGGGGCGAAGGGGGCGACCATCCCAAATTCGGGCAAATATTTTTTTACTACATGTAATGTCAAAATTTTGCCGCGATCTGCAAAGATGATGGTGATGTTCCGTTACTGCGGGAGTTATTCAGGGTTTTGCCGTGACCACGAGAGACAATGACAATGTCCACACGACCACAGGAAATAAACAAAATTTGGAGATCCGCCACTGGGCCTAGCCCTATTTTCTATCTTGCAAGGAGAAAACATAAAATCCAGTTATTGTATGTTATAAACGTAGACCAGTATTACTTATGTGTATGTAATTAAATCAGCTTTAATCTGCATAAAATGCAATGTAATTTATACTTAAAACATTTAGGCTTGAATAAGATGTAGGCTACTTTATGAATTTTTTTAACAAATTATGATAAAAGATATATTGGTTGATATTTGATGACACATATACATTATGACAAAAACTCTTGCTATCTTATGTTGATAGGTAATATCACTCATTAACAGCCTGATAACAAATGACAACTGATTCTCAGGATTACATTATCTACCTTTACATTAAAAGGTGAAAACTTAAGTCACTTTGATAAACTGCCAGTCAAGTTATTAATTTCTATCATCATTTATAAAAAAATTAACAGTACTGTACTATAATAAGTACAAATAGTGCCTTCGTAACAAGGCCTAACTTAACTGACTAAAACTATTGTTAATAAGATGCCACCATTTGACTAAGCTAAGAATTGATTACAGATGAACAAAAATCACTTTTAGAACAAATCATGTATCGGTGTAAATGTCAGTAAAACTTTTAAGTTCTGGTAAAAGTCTCTTTAAACCTTACATAATTTATTTTGTAATAAATAGATACGGTTTGCAGTCTGTTTTTGTTTTTAATATTTACAAAATTATTCATCTACTTAACATTATGAATTTAAATGGAATAAGGCTTTTTAAACTTAAATGTTATAAATATATATATTTATATGCTGAGTAACCATTTTAGTATATATTTCAAAGAGCCTAGAATATTTAGAATTTCAATAACAATATTGACTTTGTTAGCTTTGAAATATAAAAGCTGAGCTAAATTTATCAAACCCCTAACCACAGTAGAGCGTTGATTATCCTATTTAGGGTCTTAAAAAATGCAATCCACTGTAGGAAAAAAATTTAATGGGATATTAATTACTTTTTTCATTTTTATCAGATATCACTAGTTAAGCGAGCAGCGGCTGGAGTATAAAATATAATATAAGTGGATGATAATCCTGCTACCATCTAGGCCTAACCTGAAAAAACTCATATGCAAAACAGTTTTGGATGAGAGCAAAAATTCTATGATTCAAAGGTGGGACAAAAAAGTGTTTCTGATAATTTTTTTGTATTGGCACAGGTCAAAAAAGGTGCTCTGATCAAGTTAAGCTTGAGAATATGGATTTGAAATGTTGACCGAGACAATAATAGGTATCACAATATTCATGTCTGTGGTCAACAATCAAAAAGGGAATTTAGGTCAGAGACATGGCAATGAACCAGTAAAAAATACCTGTACTAATAAATTCAATTTTTTCAATGAAAGTTCAAATATTATACCTAATCTTTGCTTATCAATGACGAATTACCTAGGAATCAGCAATCCGAACACCCCCAATCCCCAGTTAATTTGGATAGTCGACTCTCTACTGTGTTAGTCTTTAGAATACTGCTAACTTTATTCGTAGTACACCAATTTCTTTCACCCAGTATTACGTCTAGTTCCTTATAAAAAAATGACATTGATGTACATGAAAAAACTTAAAGATGTAATTTAATCCAAATTGTAAATTTGTTAACAAGGGAATTTTCTATTTCATTCAATGAAATGACAGTGTGGAATGGTTATTTACATTGATTTTGTGAAGTTTAAAAATGTTTCACGTGCCTATACTCGATAAGTTGGTGAACCAATGTGTGTTGGCCTAACTTATAACACGTGTTATAACCCCATTGGCCTTGTCAAAAAACTCTGAAATTAAATACTTGAATACACTATATTAAATACACTGTATTAAAATTGTGGTACACCAGAGCTTCAATCCTCAGCCAACCGGGATAACCGGGAAGTATTTGGTTGTCTGATGTAAGGCCTGTAAATTTAAGGCGTATTTTTGTGATCGCAGAAGACGATCACAGTATCAAGACGATCACTGTAATTGTAGACAACGATCAAGGTATTATTGAGATCATGGGAGCAAAATATGGCCATTTTCAGTTGTACAAATATATATTTTACAGTACTGAATTTCCAGTTATATGAAAAACTTAATAATTCGAACTAAGTCCAGTCCCTATTAGTTTGGATTAGCTGGACACTGGTGTAAAAAAATGTTGTTATGAAAATTAATCACAAATTTTACCAGAACAACGGGTGTAACTAAATTTGAGATTCGAGTTTTGATTCTTGAATCCAAACAATCAAATCTCAAATTGAAATCTTCTCCTCAAATTCAGGGTTTGAATTTAGTATAGCGCTAGTTTGACTTTGTTTGTGAATGTATTTTTATACAGAAAGTGAAAGTATTGTGATGCTAAATGTAATTTTCATTGAAATCAAAGCTATATAATTTTTCACTTTTATTCATGTTGATATTAGTTTTTTTGGCCTTTTTCATCACAATAGAATTTAACGATGCAAGTTGATCGTTTTTCTTATTTAAATTTTGTTCGCGACTACAAACGGTGCTTGGAATAATATGGTGTAAACTGTGAAGTGATTGTTAAACATTTGAGTCAAAGTTTAAATCAATATTTATTGTTATGGGTGATTTTTATAAAATGTTGGCTTTTGTAGTATTAGCATTTATATATATTTAGTTTTAATATTCTGTCACAGAGTATAATATTTATTTTAGTTAATAAACAAACTATTATACCTCTATCCTTTTGTTTGTATCAGCTCTATGCTGAAGAACAAGCTTTATTGCTCTCAATGTGCGAAAAACGTATTTCTCAGTTCCTAATTTATTGTATTGACTTTCCATCTTTGAAATTCTGTTTTAAGAATATACTTATGTCAACAACAATGTAGTTTGATTTTGTCTTGTTTGCTGTTTACTTAAGTAACAGACGGATTAGTGTAGAACGTGTAATCTAGTATAGCTTTCTATTTATTTTTTGTTGTATGATTACATATTTGATAGATTAGTCAAATCAAAGCCTTTATTTTCCAACAGCTTCATAGTTTTGTTTCAAGTTGGTATTAAAGAGGTCAAATCCTTTTTTTTTTGCTAGATTTATCTAAAAATGTATATCAATCCCAGTTTAAAGCATATTTTTTCATGTGTAGATTTAATATAAGAGCGAATCATAGACATAGCAACACAGGAAATCAGAACAAGGAAAATTGAACAAAAATGAAAAACACCTAACTTAAGTACTAGATTTTCTTCTTACTGTCTTAATTTATTGAGTTATATAGTTAACAATATGTGTGGTGAAGAATTTTTATGTGTTTTTATTCAGTAGTTGATCTTAGTATTCATACACGGTAAATATGCCTGCTGAAGACATATTTGATAGCCTCCTGTAATACGAGGCTGTGGCGGGACATTAGTGTGTGGCAACGTCGCTACGACTGGCTTATTGCCACAGTGATCATAGTAATAACAAAATGTGTAAACATAAACATTGTACAGTTTCTGCATTATGAATAAAACTACAGCTGTTTCAGTAGGCCGGGAATGCGGTATTGCCACCTTTGTCTCACTGTGGGCTTGTATTAGAGGAGGCAATGCATATTTACAATACAATTTAAAAAATTAATATTCACATATGACATCAGAATGCAAGGTTTTGATAGTAATAAGCATATTTATATTTATTTATTTGTTAAGTTATTAGGTATACCTCGTGTTTTGTCTTCTTAGTTATAATTTTATTGTACTAGGGGATGAATTTCTCTGAAAAGGTGCTTTAGAATAATTTGATAAGTTTGTGATTGTATATATAGGCCTACATATATTATTGTAATTTCTGAAGGCTTTACTTTTTTCTCAAATAAAATTTTTTGCCTTAAAATAAAACATATTTTCTGTATAATTAAAAAGGTTTTTTTTTACTTTAAAATAACTATAGGCTACTGCGAATACATAAAATACCTATACATGAAAATTTTTAACAAGGCATTAAAGAAAAATTAGTCTTTTTTACTTATTAGTATTATTTTATTGATGTATTGATAAGTCTTACAAATATATTAAAAAATGAAGTTAATATTGAGGTTTAAGTTTTTCTTTTTGAAGTCCCCATAGGCCAAAAACACCATCCGTTCAAATTCATATATATATATATGTATGTCCGTTAGCGCGATAACTCGAGAAAAAATGATCCGATTTTGATGAAATTTGGTACAAACGAGTAAACCTATGTTTATTAAAATGAGTTAGCACACCAGCATAATCGGACATTGGGAACGGGGTTTTATGGGGTAAAAATTGATTTTTCCCATTTTTGACCAAAAAAAAAAACAAAATTTCATAATTTATCTTTAAACCATTTTGTAGAGCTTAAAAAAAGAAATAATTTTATATATTGAAGCGTTGTTGTATGCCAAACGGTTACGTAGATAATTTACAAAAATTAAATTTATAATTCCCATGTTATTCTTATGGAGAATAAATAACTGTTGTAGTTTGCTTGTTTATGGATATATTTTAATCAAATTTGGCAATTTTGTTTATTTCATACTAAGCTATCAACATTTCAATAAAAAGCACACCTCAATATCTTCCCCGTAGCAGCAAATCTAAGTACTCACTAAAATGAATGTTATTTAAATAGGAAATAAATCTGACAATTTTTAGGGAATAGTATAGTAGAAATCCAGCCGGGTAATTGGAAATTTGGGTTTGCTGCGGCGGGGGCATTTGAACTACTATTTGGATGCTTTGAATCCTTTATTTGTGGTTGTGATCATAGCTATAAATAATGTAGTCTATATACCTTTTAAATTAGTTTACCACAAGTTTTAACTCTAAAAACATTTTATCATATTCATCTCTATGTTCAACTCTTTTAAAAATAAACATGCTACTTATTTATGGTTGCATTGATATGGATGTATAATGTGCTTTACCATTGGTGTTGTAAAACATTTTTATTTTGTGCTGTAAAAATAGCTAATAACTTGTTGAAATTCAAACCAGTGCCTTAATACACGTCCATCTGTAATATAAATTGTGTTTGTACTCAAGATTTTGTTAGTCTTCTCTTTTCGTCTATCTAATCTGTTTTATTCTTTACAAAATCCTTAGTACCGTACCTCAATGTTACATAATGTTCATATTTTGGTTATGTAGCGAATCCTTATCTTTAAAATTATCATTAAATCTAAGT